CATGTGGCTATCCAATTTTCCCACCACCATTTATTGAATAGGGCTTTTCCCCCCCAGTATCTATTCTTGCTTGCCTTGTCAAAGATCAGTTGGCTGTATGTGGATGGTTTTATGGTTGGATTCTCTGTTCTATTCTACTGGTCTATGTCTCTATTTTTGTGTCAATATAATACTGTTTTTGTTACTATAGCCTTGTAGTATAGTTTGGTGTCTGATAATGTGATGGCTGCATATATTTTCCTTTTTGCTTAAGATTTCTCTGGCTAATAAATAGCCTTTTTTCTGGTTCCAAACAAAGCATAGAATTGTTTTTTCTAGATCTGTGAAACATGACATTGGTATTTTGATGGGGATTGCATTGAATCTGTAAATCACTTTGGGTACTATGGACTTATTAATAATGTTGATTTTACCAATCCATGAACATGATATATTTTCCCATTTGTTTGTGTTATCTGTGTTTTCTTTCCTCAGTGTTTTGTAGGTCCATTTGTAGAGATCTTTCACTGCCTTGGTTAAGTATATTCCTAGGCATTTTTCTTTCTAGCAGTTGTCAATGGTATTGAGTCTTTGATTTGACTCTCAGCTTGACTGTCAATATTATCTGAGAATGGCTATATCTGCTTTCTTTTGGTTTCTGTTTGCATGGAATATTTTTTTCCATCCCTCCCCCTTGAGCCTGTGTAAGTCCTTGCAGTTTAGATGTTTCCTGGAGTCAGCAGGTACTTGGGTTGTATTTTTTCATCCATTCAGCCAGGCTGTGTCTCTTGAGTGGGTCTTCAGACTATTCATGTTGATAGAATTGATATGTGTGGTGCTGTTCTGTTCATCCTGTTGGGTAATACCTTATTGCTTTATTTTACCTCTTGTGCTATTGTTTTATATGAGCTGTGAGCGTTAGCTTTTGGGTGGTTTTATACTGGTCAGTATCCGTTGTGCTGATCCACATATAATGCAGTTCTGAGTATTTCCTGCAGGGCAAATCTGGTCTTGACAGATTCCCTCAGTGATTGCTTGCCTGGAAGAGTCTTTATTTCTCCTTCATATATGAAACTTAGTATTGCAGATTACAAAATTCTAAGCTGACAGTTGTTCTGTTTAAGAAGACTGAAGATGGTGATCCAGTCTCTTCTGGCTTATAAATTCTCAGTTGAGAAGTCTGCAGTTAGCTGCATGGGTTTTCCTTTGTAAGTTACATGATATTTTCACTTCATGGCTTGCAGGAATTTTTCCTTTGTGTTGACTTTGGCCAGTTTGATGACTTTGTGTCTTGGTGATTGCAATGAATCTCTAACTCTCTAGCAAGACCAGGGAAGGTTTTCCTCAATTATTACCTCAAATTGGTTTTCTAGCCCTTGTGCATTTTTCTTCACCCTCAGGGATGCGTATGATTCTGATATTTGGCTGTTTTACATGTCATAATTCTTGTAGGTTTTGTTCATTCCTCTTAATTCCCTGTTGTTTATTTTTTTTTATTTATTTTTTTTTTTTTGAGACAGAGTCTCACTTTGTTGCCCAGGCTAGAGTGAGTGCCGTGGCGTCAGCCTAGCTCACAGCAACCTCAAACACTCCTGGGCTCAAGCGATCCTTCTGTCTCAGCCTCCCAAGTAGCTGGGACTACAGGCATGAGCCACCATGCCCGGCTAATTTTTTCTATATATATTAGTTGGCCAATTAGTTTCTATTTATAGTAGAGACGGGGTCTCGCTCTTGCTCAGGCTGGTTTCGAACTCCCGACCTCGAGCAATCCACCCGCCTCGGCCTCCCAGAGAGCTAGGATTACAGGCGTGAGCCACCGAGCCCGGCCTGTTGTTTATTTTTGACTGAGTTAATTTTAAAGAGTTGTCTTCAAGCTCTGAGATTCTTTCTTCTGCCTGGTCTAGTTTATTCTTAAAACTTTCCACTGTTTTATATTTCCTTAAATGAATTTCTCATTTCCGGATGTTCTATTTGGTTTTTAATGTCAATCTCAGTAGTGAATTTTTCATTCATTTCCTGAATTGTTTTTCTGGTTTCTTTGAGTTGGTTTTCCATTTTCTTTTGGATTTCATTGCATTTCCTTACAATCCATATTTAGAATTATTTGTCTGTCATTTCAATATTTTCACTTTGGTTTGTGTCCATTGCTACAGAGTTGATGTTCTCCTTTGGGACTGTCCTTTTCCCTCTGATTTTTCATACTTCTTTCTCCAGCCCTGTGGTCTTCTTAACAGTGTGAATTGTATTTGCATGTCCAGTTTAATCTCTGAGATGGCAGGGGGTGCTGGCAAGAATCAACCACACCGTATGATTGAGTCAGTAGATGTGGTAAAGGGCTGTGCAAATTGATCTCCCAGTCAGTAGTAGGTGGCACTTGCTGGAAGGAACAAACTTCAGTGTTCTTTATGGGGCCTATGACTGGCTCTAGCCCCTCAGGAGAAGCACTTGAATGCCCCAGCCCTGGAACTTCCAGGTGAGTCCTTATTCTCCTCCACAGCAGAGGCAGGTGAGAAAGTGAGGCTAGGAAGGGCTGGGTTGGGTGAGCTTGCTCTCAGGCTCCACAAAAGCTGGGAAGGTATCTGTCTCAGCAGGAGTAAAAGGTCTGCTCCAGGCTACTGGGGAAAGCTGCCAGAGAGGGTCTGAAGTGGTTCCACTCAGCCAGAAAGACTGCTTGTGGGGGATGGGCCATCTGAGATTCACAATCTGGCTGTTAGGAGTGGCTTTCGCTCTTTTCCCCCCCTCCCCTGCTCTGCTGCGAGTAGGATTTCTGTTCTATTTCAGAAGAATGACAAAGACCAAAAGAAACCGACAGGATATACACTATCTTCCCAGATGGAGGTGATTCCACTTTCACTGAAGTTGTGCATTGTGCATGGAGAGTCTTATAGTAATACAATTTAGGGGAAATTTTCCTAATTTTGGACCACAAAGATTCATCCTTCCTCAGAACATATCTGGCTCCTTGATCTTATATTATTTGCATTGTTATTTAAATGTCTAACATTTTCTTTTCTAAGTAGATTACTTGTAGACCTTTTTTTTTTTTTAACATAGTACTGCTGTGTACTCAGCATGTAATCATCAAGTGAATGATGGAATGATTTACACTTGACAGTGTATATATTGCTGCATTAAGGACTTTTACTTTCCCTACAATTTTATTTTGGAGGATCTGATTTAAATTCACACCACTGGATAGTTGGGGCATGTTTTATAGTTGCTAACTATGCCTCTTGGGACGTAGGTTTTACTGTCCCTGCTATGATAGTAGAATCAGGTGCAGTGACTGACACTTATCTATCCTACACACAGGTATATCTTGTTACTGTAGATATTCAGTAGGAACACAGTAGGATATACAGTATCTATACCTCATTTTCCCAGGAGTATTTCTGAGGTGCAAAACTATTCAGGCAAGGACTATTGCTGTCCCACTTCGTCCTTTCTCAGTACTATCAGAACCTACACAGGATCAAATCTAGGGAAGTATTGTTTTTTGTGACCATTAAAATACTAACTGGAGTTTTACTTCAAAATCAGTGAATTACAAATGTATCACTTCTTACAGTCCCTTATTGGTTTAACAAAATAAAGTCATTAATTTGTAGATCGGGTGCTTTTGAGATTGCACAAAAACAAAGCAATCCACTAGACTGCTTCTTTAGGGAATTTAGTTGTCAATAAAATGGATAACCACATTCATATGACTTTTTTTTTTTTTATAAATGAACTGAAATGGTAACATTATGTAACCAATTGAGAAACCTTTTTGATCAATCACAATTTAGGATCCTATGGAGACAAAGTAGCAGGCAAGTTTTCTGCTCTTAAGGAAACTGAATAACCTAGAAAATAGAACTGGAGTATCAACTATACATACTTGAAGCATAGTTGACTCTCAAACAATGTAGGAGTTAGGGGTGCTGACCTCTGTACAGTCAATAATCCAGATTGTTTAATGTCAATTTGTTTTCTGGACTGCTTCTTCTGTCTTCTTCCTCATCAGTTGGCACTGGTTTGGAAGCACTCATTTCTGTCAAGTCATCTTCTGTTAGTCCTCTGGTGTGGTGTCTATTAACTGTTGAATTTCTCCAAGGTGCATATCTTGAAACCACCTTCAACTGCCACCTTTTTTGCCATGTCCATAATCTCAGGATTTTCTTGATTGGCTCTGTTGTAAATCCTATGAAGTCATGTGCAATATCTGTATAGTTTTCTCCAGAAGGAATTTAGTTTCCAGCTTAATGGCTTGTACAGTTTTTTCTCTAACAATGATGGTATCTTCAATGGTGTAATCCTCTCAGACTTTTGGGGTTCTCTTCCAATAGTGTTGACAGTCCTTTTCATAGAGTACCTTGTGTAATGAACCTTAAAGGTCCTTAAGACCCAGTGATCTAGAGATGTTTTGTTCGAGGGCAGATAGACCACTTTTATGCCTTTGATGTTGAACCCATGAAGTTCTGAGTGGCCAGGTGCATTGTCCAGTATGAAAAAAACTTTAAAAGTCCCTTATTGGCAAGGTACTTCCTGACTTAAGGGACAAAGCATCCATGCAACCAGTCCAGAAAAATGGTTCTCACTGTCCAGGCCGTCTTGTTGTATAACCAAAAGACTGGCAGTTGCTGTTTATCTTTTCCTTTCAAAGCTCAGAATTTAGCAGTCTTACAGATAAGGGCAGTTCAGTTCTGATCATAAACCCAACTGCAATTTACACAAAACAGTAGTTGGCTTATCCCTTCCTGCTCTGAATCCTGGTACTCACTTCTCTTCCTTACTAATAAATCTTCTTTGTGGCATCACCCCTCCCCCCAGATTAGTGACATCATCATAGCTCATTGTAACCTCAAACTACTGGACTCGAGCAATCCTCCTACCTCAGCCTCTCCAGTAGCTGGAACTACTGGTGGAAACTACCATGCCTGGCTAATTTTTCTATTTTTAGTATAGACAGGGTCTTGCTCTTACTCAGGCTGGTGTCAAACTCCTGGGCTCAAGCAGTAGTCCTGCTGTTGCCTCCCAGAGTGCTAGGATTACAGGTGTGAGCTACTGCATCTGGCCACTTTTAATTCTCTTTTTAATAAAGAACTTTCAAATAACATGAACTCAAGAGGGAAGGGTTGTCAGAAGGTATAAAAGTACAGTATACATAAGATTAGGAAGGAGATAAATAAGACTGTGTAAGGAAACGAACACCTTTGTTACTGACCCTGTAGTGTTGCTATTAAGATATAACTTCTAGAGTTTCATAGGTTGAAATATGGAGTTCTTCAACATGGATGAATTCGTATATATTTAAACTTATATATTCTATTTTTAAATCTCTGAAAAGTATTATGTGATTTTGGTTTATATTTAAGTTCACGAGGATTATGCAGGCACTCTACAGTAAGAATAATTGCTCTGTCTTCTGTCTAAATGTTGTATTTCTCAGAATCATAATAATTAAGCTGAATAAGCAAAATTGCTAAAGCAAAAGAAAATCTGACTTTTGTTACAAACACCTTTAAAAAAACCCATTTTGTCCAAAAGAGGTATATAAATTTTTACTTACAGCAGTTAATTCTTTATAATTATCGAAAGGTAGGCAATGACAATAGGTTTATTCTAGCTTTATTTAATGTGACACTGATGCATAAAGAATACAATCAAAGACTGCAAACAACCTAATTCATTTTCCGAGTTTGTTCAAGCCTCCAGGCACCAGTCAAATATCGAAGTCGTATAAAAAGTAGGTCCTTGCCCATTTGTAGCCAGCTCCAAAATGGAACTAATTTAGAACCTGTGATTTAAAAATAATTATTTTATTATTTAACAAAATAAAAGATGATCGCATAGAGGTAGAAAGTGGAATGATGGATACCAGAAGCCGAGAAAGGTATGTGTCGGGGGGTGGGGTGGTCAGGGGGAAAATGAAGAGAGGTTGGCTAATGGGTACATACAGTTAGACAGAAGTTGTAAGTTCCAATGTTCAATAGCAGAGTAGCATGACTACAGTTAGCAACAATGTGTTGTCTATTTCAAAGTAGCTAGGAGAGGACTTGAAATGTTCCAAACACAGAAATGATACATGTTCAAGGTGATGGATACCCCAAATGCCCTGACTTGATCATTATATCTTCTATGCATGTAACAAATACTTACATGTACTCCACAAATATGTAATATATATCAATAAAAAAATTTCACTGCCATTTTAATTATACTTTATCCTCAAAGAAGATCTTTTCCACTGCTCTACATTCATCTAAATTTCAGCTTTATTCTGAAAATATTACCACCAAAGCACTAATGTAAATATTACCCTTATTCTGTATAATTAATCAGGGGACAATTTTCATTACTTTTTTAACAACCCACATTTGATAAAGCACATGCTTTTTTTTTTCTTTTTATTTTTTTCAGGGGACATTATTTTCTTTATTCTACAAATGAAGAAACTGAGATACCTACAATTCATATTATAACACAACTGTGCACATGACATAAACATGAAACTGTGACATAAACATGAAACTAATTTTTGCTTTTCACCATTTCATCATCCTATAGAGTCTATGTTGGGCATAGATCAACACAGCCAGATCAACAAAGGTGATCATGACACCTCTGAACAATCCTTTAAACTGCTTCCTGATCCTCTGATTCTAGGCTGCTACTGTGGAGAACAGTTAAGTTTCTGTAAACTCAGTGTGATTCAGCAAGACACCAAGAAGTTTGAATGCATTCTAGATTATATAGTTTATATAATCTGAAGTTATGGAGTAATAAAGGCTTACTGCAACAATGGCTTTCAAAGAGAGGGCTGTGCTCACCTGGGGGGAGGTGGACTTTGAAAAAGTCTCTAGTTGGTTATGTTAACTGTTCCTACACCATGAATTAATTTAGGTGCATTCTAATGTAAACAAACTAGAATACATTTTAAAACTAGACTAGAAAACTAAATATAGTTTTAAACTATATTTAAAACTATTTTAAAACATATTTTAAATTCTATACAACCAGAGCTGCCCAAGCTTTTCCAAATAGGAATTATTAAGGTTTATATGATAGATTTCAAATTATTATAGTTTGGAGATCTTTGCTTTTTGCTGTATGTACAGATACAGGTAACAGTTTCAAAAAATGGCTCCAAATTGACTTAACATTTGGGAGAAAAACAACTGTTGTTTCTTATTTAGCTTTGCATAGTGGTTTGTAGGTACTCAGTATCTACTTAGTGATCAAGAAGTATACTGACAGAGTGATGCAAACAATAAAGTTTATCTCAAAAGACTATCAGCCTTGCTTCTAACCTCAGATCACCATGACCTTGTCTATTGCAGGAGGTTTTACTGAAGTTCCTTGGGGCCTTCTGAAGGCCCCAAGACGACAGAAACAACACAGAAGGCAGCAACCCTGCTGGAGGGGCTTAGTAGGCAATTCTCTCCATGGAACAGGCTCTTTGAGTCAAGACAGCAGAGAAGGCCTTGATGAAGGGAGTGGGAGAACACTAAAGCCAGCTGACTTTAGTGGACAACTGAATTGACTGATGTCTCCCCCTTTGTCTGACTAAAGATCAGCCAAAAAATAAAACATACGCACCTTCAATTTCAGTCCAGTTGACAGCAATCTCTGCTATTGGAATTTTCAAGAACTGTGCTATATAAAGCAGTTCTACATCAAATGCCCTGAAACAGAAAATACATTGATACTTATTTTTAAAAAGACAAATAGAGCATAATTAGATCTCTACCTTGGCATATTTTAAAGAAGCTTACACAGCAGATGTAAAGCTTGTACTGTAAAACTGAAGATCAGATTCACAGAGGTCAAATAATTAAAAGCTCAGTGGTTCAGAAGCTCTAAGGCAACTAAGGTAATTTAGTATGTCACTGTATAACATTTAAATGAGAAATATTGTATCTCTACCACAACTCTGAAACTCTCAGAGGTAAAAAATGGCTTCATAGGCTCCAAGAGAAAATTTAATCCTGGAAATTTTCAAGATTGATGTTTTCCATCCCAGCCTTAACTAGCTCAAGGTATAGAACTGACAGCATTTCAGCTGATTGTGAGAGCTGATGAAAAAAAACTCTGAGAAGCTCTAGGAGAGAATGTTCTCAATCACTTTAGATATCCTTGGTTATTTTCTTCTACCACCAAAAGATCAAGGTTTCCTTTCTAATACAGTGTCCCTAGGGCCTTGTCTTCCCCTTTTTTCTTCCCTGTGCTGTCCCGGGAAACACAGTATTGTCAACTATTGAAAGTGAAAAGGTACTTTAGACTAGTCTGAAATGCTCTTTGGGTGTAACCACACACACACACACACACACACACACACACACACACACACACACACACACACACAAATTAGATATATCGCTTATTACTTGTCCTAACACACACTGCTAAAACCATTTCTAGTCTAAATCCTCAGTTCCTCCTTCCTTCTACTCATGAAAGGGTCTTTCCTAAAGCTCCTCTGCAGTCAGCCCCTTGTTTGGGTCAAACCTGTTTTCCCTAAAGGCTTTGAATACTGACTCAGAAGCTTCTCTGGATTCTGCTTACATAACTTCTCTGAACCAATTGCTGCTTTCACTGGCCTTATGTTCAGGAAGAAAAGCATCACTACCTATTAAATCTTCTTCATGCTCCTTTAACTGTTTAAATCCTGTGCTGTTTTGCTTTTGTCCTTGAGTCATGAAGCCCCCACTTTCTGTGCATGAACTGTGCATGAAGCACAGTTCAAATTTCCAGGGCTAGGGTGTAAAACATTAATTATTAAGAGCACAGACAAGAAAATGCCTCAAACCCAATTATGCTTAATCTCAGACAACTTGAATTGGGGAGTTTTTTTTTTTTTGCCAAAGTACTATCACCATCCATTATGTAACTTAGTTTAAATTTCAAGTATTTGGATAATTCAATATGACAACTATTTCTAAAACAATGCTTTTTCTTATCCTAATAAAACGTTTAGAGTTAAGATGATAAAAAACATCTACAAAAGTGGGTTCTTTTGTGTTTTTAACAGCACTACATAAAACTTCTGTTTACTTCTGTTATCTAGACTTGTGATACTCGGGAAAGAAAGAGTTAATTTCAATATTAAGCCTGGTAATCAAACCTTAACTCTCTTTCTTTTAACACAAAAACAAAATATTATCTAGTGGGCTAAGTTAGTTCTAATGATACTCAATAACTTGAAGAAGATTATTAAATAGTTTTCTAAGGATATCAGTACATAGCTAGTGACTTATCAAAGACAAAAATACAAAATAATAATGGAGTGGATTAATTAAGCAATTATTAACTGAAATCACTTTATATTTAGCAAAAAATCTCTAGATCAAAAGGGTTTTTTAAAATTATATCTTTCGCCTCTTAAACATTTCAAAAGACATGAAGATACTTATTACAAAAAAAAAAAACAAACCTCACATCACCATACTGTAAGTAAGTGCCCAATCTGTTACCCAAGCAAACATTTTAAGTGAAATGCCAAGTGCTTTTGGACAGAGGCTTATGCTATTAGAGGGAAAAAGTAGAAGAACTAGTCTCTGGCTAAGATGCCTTCACTTGTTTTCGCAAATGTGAGTTAGGCAGAGCCACCATGTTTTCTTTTCTGACTCAGTTCCTGGTACAGGTGTTATCTGGCTAACAGATTTATTCCTAAAGAACAAAAAGTATGTTGAGACTATTAGACACAGCAGATAGACATGGACCTCACTGCTCCCTCCTGAAATCCTACTAAAATTAAAGCAACGATAATGGAATAAACAGACAAGAACAGAGAGGGGAGGAAGAGTTGATAGTAAAAAGAAAATTGGACATTGTAAAGTAGTTGGACATATGCTAACTAGGGAAGGTGGGCAACAGCAGTGTGAGAAGGGTGCCAGAGCCCCCTAGCGGCTCAAGAATCAGAGGCTTCAAATAGAGTCTGCAGGTGGAACACAGGTGGGGCTGCAAACAGGAGGACTTACTGAATATCTGTATCAGATTTTCCTTCCCCTTGTACCTTCCCCCTTTTAGTTCTCTGAATGCTGACAACCAGGATCAGGGCTCCTAGGCAGGAGATTGAAGGATCCCACTTTAGTAAAAACGACCAGCCCAAAAGAAAGTGGTAGTTGGGACTCTTTCTCACACGGCTCCATTAGGTTAACCTATAATGAAATCTTCCAGTCAGTCAGAGGCTCTGCCCATGCACACAGTGTCTGATGAGTGTTTTAGTGCCATACTAAAGACATCTGAGGAAAGAAGGTGGTGATAAAAGAGAACATGCAAAATACTAGAAGCAAGAGAATCAATGTAGGGAATGAAGAAAATGACAAAGCTTTAAATGAGACAGAGACAGTGGAAGATACAAGACTAGATTTTTAAAACATTATTACTAAAAAACAAGAGTTCTAGGAAATTATAATTTTGATAGCAGAAATAAAAATTCAAAAGGAGGGCTGGATGATAAAAATTGAGAAAATCTTAAAAGAACAAACACAAAAACGAAAAAATTATAGGACCAGTAGTGAGGTGATTGTCAAAGAAATGATTAAAGACTTGGGAAGATTTCTGCTATTATTTACAGGTGCTATTATTTACAGGTGGAAGACTCACTGAATATCTATATAAGATTTTCCCTCCTTCCTGGTGTTCCATACCACTGTAGGATGACTATAGTTAATAATAATGTATTATATACTATAGTTTCAAATAGCTAGGAGGAAGATATTGAATATTCCCAACACAAAGAAATGATAAATGTTGAGATGATTGATATGCTATTACTCTGATCTGATCACTACAATTACATGTATTGAAACATCACTATGTACCAAATAAATATGTTCAATTATTATTTGTCAATTAAAATAAATAAATAAAAAATTGATTAAAGACTATTTCTCAGAACTAAAGGAGATGACTCTTCAATAAATGGTGTTGGGAAAACTGAATATCCACACACAGGGAAGAATGAAACTGTACTCTTATCTCACACCATGTACAAAAACTGACTCAAAGGCCGGGCGCAGTGGCTCACGCCTGTAATCCTAGCACTCTGGGAGGCCGAGGAGAGCGGATTGCTCGAGGTCAAGAGTTCAAAACCAGCCTGAGCAAGAGCGAGACCCCGTCTCTACTATAAATAGAAAGAAATTAATTGGCCAACTAATACATATATAGAAAAAATTAGCCATGCCTGTAGTCCCAGCTACTTGGGAGGCTGAGGCAGGAGGATTGCTTGAGCCCACGAGTTTGAGGTTGCTGTGAGCTAGGCTGACGCCACGGCACTCACTCTAGCCTGTGCAACAAAGTGAGACTCTGTCTCAAAAAAAAAAAAAAAAAAAACTAGCTCAAAATAAATTAAAGACTTAAACAGAAGACCTGACATTGTATAGGTACTAGAAGAAAACAGAGGGGAAAAACTATATGACATTGGTCTGGGCCCCAGTGGACCCCAAAAGCACAGGAAACAAAAGTAAAAACAGACAAGGAGGATTAAGTCAAACTAAAAAGCTTCTGCACAACAAAGGAAACAACTAATGAAGTAAAGAGACAACCTATGGATTGGGAGAAAATATTTGCAAGGCATACTTCTGATAAGGGGCTAATATCCAAAACATACAAGGAGTTCAAACAACCCTACAGAAAGAAAACAAATAATCCTATTAAACAATGGGCAAGGGACCCAAACAGACATTTCTCAAAAGGAGACATACAAATGGCCAATAGATATATGAAAAAATGCTCAACACCACTAATCATTAGGGAAATGCGAATTAAAATCACAATGAGATACCACCTCACACCTGTCAGAATGGTAACTGATAGGTTACCAACAGAATGGTAATAAAAAGACAAAAGATAAGTGTTGGCAAGGATGTAGAGCAAAAGGAACCCTTGTACACTGTTGGTGGGAATATAATTAGTACAGCTATTATGGAAAACTATATGGATGGTCCTCAAAAAACTGAACAGAATTACCATATGATCCAGCAATCTCACTTCTGGGTATTTACTCAAAAGATTTGAAATCAGTATGTTGAAAAGGTATCTACACTCCCATATCCACTGCAGCACTATTCACAACAGCCAAGTTATGGAATCAACTAAGTGTCCCTCAACAGATGAGTAAAGAATTTCTGGTAGAGAGACCATTCAGCCTTAAAAAGAACGAAAATCTGTTATTTGTGCAACAACACATATGGAATTGGAGAATATTATGCTAAGTGAAATAAGCCAGATCCAGAAAGACAAGTACTGCATAATCTCACTTATATGTGGAATCTAAAACAATTGACCTCATACAAGCAGAGAGTAGAATGGTGGTTACCAGAGGCTGGTGAGAGGGAGTGGGGGAGATGGGAAGATGATGGTCAAAGGGTACAAAAGCTCAAGTAAAACAGGAGTTTTTTTTTGAGATCTAGTATACAATATGGTAAATATGGTTAATGTATATTTTATATTTCAAAATTGCTAACAGTAAACTTCAAATGTTCTCACCACAGAATATTTGAGGTGATGGTTATGTTAAATTAGCTTGATCATTCTACATTATATTCATAAATCACAACATTGCTTTGGACTCCATAAATATATGCAGCTACAATTTGTCAATTTATAAGAAAAATTTTAAAAAGTTGTATAACATATGCTTCAAATGTTTATTAAATGAATTAATGAATTTTGTAAAAAAAAATTTTGTAAAAAAAAAAAATTAAAGAACAGGAGTTTCAGATTTAAGAACCTACTGAGTACTCAACAAAATACATGAAAAGGAACTACATTAAGGCCCAGGATCATGATCTTTCAAAACATTGTGGAGGAAAAGCTTCCAAAGGGGGTGGAAACAACATGCACAGAATCAAGATCCAGATTCTCTACAGAATTGGACTCTTCCCCAGAAACACTGCGTGCCAAAGACAATAGAGAAATGTTTTCAGAATCCTGAGGAAAAACGGTTTCCAACTTATAATTCTTTCTCCACCTAACTATTAAAACAAGTGTGAAGATAGAATAAAGATTTTTTTTCACATGTAAGGACTCAAAAGTTTCTTTCTCATGTTTTAGGAAGTTAATAGAGGATGTGCTTTACTAAAATAGGGGTGCAAACCAGGAAAAGGAGATAGAGGACAATGCTGCGTAGCAGGCCAGAGACAAAACAGAGATAAGAGCAGACAGAGGTTCCCAAGAGATGAAACTGATGCAGAATCTGTATTTGAACACACACAGAGAGAGAGAACTGTACTCTTCACAGAGTTTGAACACAAGTTAAGTGACAGATCCATAGTATAGTAATGCAAACAAAAAATTTCGGACTATTATCTTTAGGAAAACAAAAAGCAAGAAAGGTAATGTAATCACACTGCACTTAAGTGTGGATTATCTTCACATAGCTGTAACAATCAATACCGACCTAACCAAAAGTTATTTTAAAACCATACTTGGAGTTTAAGTGCAGAGGATGTACTAGATTTTAGGAGAACTAAATGCTTATCCATGATTTCCTAGTTTGGAAAGTAATATACTAAAACTGAAAAATTAAGAAATAGCTATTCAGACTCATTATTTTGAATATAAAAGGAAATACCACAAAGAAATAGCAAAGAAAAGTTGAAAGTGGCTACAGCTAGGGGGCAGGAACTGGGGATAGGGGGAGATGGAAGAAGGGACTACTGTTCTTTTGCTATAAGGCTATGGAACTATCTATACATTATAATCATGTGTAACACTGATTAGAAATAAAAAGTATTCAGTGGAAGAAAGAACATTTCAAAGACTATTTTAACATCTACAAATGGAAAGAATTTAGGTGAGGTACAGCTCTGAGGATGAAGATATATACACATCAGCCCCCTGAATCCATAGGTTCGATATCTGCAAATTCAACCAAACTTGAATAAAAATATTAAAAATTAAACAATAAAATAGTATAAATAAAACTTAGTATAACAACTATTTATGCAACATTTACTTTGTGTTAGGTATTATAAGTATTCTAGAGATTATTTAAAATATATGGGAGGAGATGCATAGGTTATATGCAAAGACTATGCTATTTTATCATATATAAAGAATTTGAGTATCTGAGCAGATTCTGGTATCTGCAGGTAGTATATCGTATCTCCTGGAATCAATACCCTGTGAATACCGAGGAACAATCGGGTATATACCTGAATTTGAACACCAAAGTTATGTTACTTAAAAATTTTAAATATTTAAATATACATATTTAACATACCCATTCACAACTCTGTAGCTCTGAATCCAAAGAGATACCAATAGTCTGAACTTGAGGTATATTCTTTGATAGATTTCTAATACCTAGAAACTTGATCTGGAAATTTCAATGAATTCTTAAAAAAAAACAGTCAAAAGTGATTTTATATGGAAATAAGAAGTAGATGTACAAGTTGATGTCTATAACTTATGTTGTATAAGAAAAAACACATTGTTCTTTAGTTCTTCTTGATTTAAAGTGTAGGAACAGAGATGTTTAAATAAAAACTATCAATGAAGTATTACTGTAGTGATGAGTATGCTGCTAAGCAAATTGATACATGTACATTTGGTGGCTCTCCTTTATAGGCACCAAATAAACATAACTGGACCCTAAATAAAAATGTAAGAGGTTAAAATTTTAAGTTAGATCAATACTATATCAATCAAGTCCAAAACAAACAAGTAAAAGTCCTGTACATAAAATTTAAAAAAGAAAAAAAATCCAATAATGTTATTTAACTTAAAATAACCCCACAAAAACTGCCCTAATATAGTAGCCACTAGGCACATGTGGTTACTGAACACTTGAAATGTGGCTAGTCTGAACTGTGTTGTAAGTTTGAAGACATAGTGCAATGAAAAGAAGGTAAAATATCTCAATGTTTTTTCATACTGATTGCATTCTGATAGGACATCTTGGGTATACACTGTGTTAAAGGATATTATTAAAATAAATTTCATCTGCATCTTTTTACTTTTTTAATGTGGCTAATGGAAAACCTGCAATTACATATATATCTTGCATCTGTCTTACATTACATTTCTATTGAACAATGCTGCTGTAGAACAGCCCTGATGGAGAAACTTTATGGTTTTTAGCTCATCAACTCTAAGCTGTTATATTTCAAGAAACTAAAAAGGCCCTTGACAATGAATAATAGTGTCTTCCATTTCTGAATCCTTCTTTTCAAATTACAAATAACCTAGTTCTGGACCTAACAGCCGACTGAAAAATATTTAATGCAGATAGGGCTTTACTTCTAAAGTTGCTCCTTAAATTAGATTTTGGAGTCCATTCGCTATCAGTTGACATTAATCTTCAACATAATAAAAGCATGTACCTGAATCTGAAGGCCAAATTTACACTATATAAAGTTTTTTAATCTAGCAAAAAAAAGATTAAAAAACACTCCAATGATAATTTTAATTCTGAAAGTATAGTTCCTTTAAAGTAATTTTTGGTGTTACATGACATATATTTCTAGGGAGATAACAGATCTTTGCAATCAAATAAAAAAAAAGTAGCAGAGACTTCAAAGATGGTCATATACTAGAATAATTATGCCCATCATGAACAGGATTCACACGAACCCATGACTAACACTAAGTATTAGCTCTTTTAACAGTATTTACTGGGTACTTACTATGTGCCAGGTACTCCATTAGATAGTGGATATACTAGTAAGCAAAATCAAAAGGGACTCTTGCTGTTATGGAGCTTATGCTTTAGCAGAGAAACATAATAATTACACAAATAAGAAAAAAACTACAGACATGACAGGTGCTATGAATAAAGCACGTGGTACTGCAAAAGCATGTAATTAGGGGCATGTGAGCGAGTTTGGAGAGCGAGGACAAGCTGCCTTAGGGAGGATCTGAGAGGGAGAAGTTGACAAGGGGTAGAGGGTTGGAGAAGGGAAAAGTCCATACATGAAGACATGCGCGGGGCCAGACTATGCAGCATGTTTATAGGCCACTGGAAGCCACTGAAGGATTGATTCTAAGCAGAAGAGATGCACACATGATAGATCACTTCTAAGTTTTGCAAAGACCCCTGTGGGCTGCAGCATGGCAGTCTGTGGAAGGATGGTGTCCTGGATGGTGGGGAGGTGGGGATGGAGAGAAACAGAGGGACATAAAAGTTTAAATCTATAGGCCTTGGTTATGGATTGGATATACACAGGGCAGGTGGGGAATGTCAGGGCTGCTGCCAGGTTTCTATTTAAATAGCTTCTATATGATAGTGCTTCTGTATGACAGTGAAATATTCCCAGTATATTCCAAAAGAGAACTCAGAAGTATTGAATGCTGCTAATGGGTTAAGTATGACAAGTAGTTAACATGACCACTGGCTTCAATGACATGGTGGTAACTAGATATTTAGATTGAAGGAATGGGAGAACACTCATATTAAGGTGGGGTGAAGAGAAAGTGGTTAAGTGGGAAAATGAAGCTAGTCAATACAGATAACTCTTACTCTTTCAAGAAAAGGTTGGTGAAAGGAGAAAGACAGGGCTAGAGCTGGAAGAAGTGGGGTGGGGATCAGTGGAGAATACACAAGAGAGAAAATAAATGAATAGGATTAGGTTTTGAGAAGGTGGTAGGGGATGTGGAGGTCAAAAGACAGGTCTTAGGAGAAAAGATTTTATCTCCTATAAAAGGAAGGAAAGAAATGGGTATCCTATTCTGCTTTGGTATTTCCGAGCTTTTTCTTTTTCTTCAAAGGAAAAAAGAAGCCTGAGGAAACAATGTCTTCAGGCCTCTCAATTTATACTGCCTATAATAAAGGTGAATACATAACTTTTTACCATATGTTGGATTTGTGTATTTTCAAAATAAGATCCAATCTGGAAAAGTATAAAGGCACAGATTAAGTTTATATACGTAGGTGTCAATGTTGTTTAAATCTGCATGTTCATTAGGAGAATACAAGGCTGCTTCTCATTACCATAACTGTTGGGTAATAAGACAGACCAGATACATTCCAGTTAGAAACCTACCATCGTTCAATGTGCAGAGATGAAAACGTCCGGGAAGCTGCTTCTCGAGTTAATAATTTGAACCCACACTGTGTGTCCCTGATTCCTTTGACACAAAGGAACCACACCAGAAAGTGGAACCCATACATGAGAAGAGTACGGAAGTAAGAACGCTGAAAACAAAGACAAAATACAAATGACTTTTCCATTTATTTGTAAAGAAGACATTGAAAACACCTGGCTATAGATAACTGCATTTTAATATTTAATTCACTAGATAGAACTTACATATGAACACCATTGTTCCAAGAACATCACCAACAAAGTAATATCTACTGCTTAGAGCAGAGCAGAAGCATTGAAGAAGCAGTTACTGATTCCCTGGAGGCTGAGTCAGACAAGAAAAATCAAAAGACCTAGGAAAGGCCACAGCTTCAGCCCACCAGGAGAAACAAGTTTGGGATTGCTATGAATAAGAATATCTCATTTACCTACATATTTTATGCCTCTTTGCCTCACATATATTTCAGTTTCAAAAAAGATTAGCTTCCAGAACATATTAGCAAAACAAAACACTAAGCTTTGAACCTGAAGTTCAATACCTAATGAGAATATTGACGGAAGACACACAGCAGAGTATCACAAAGGTTACACACTAGAAAGGAGTTTGAAACAGAAACCCAGTTTCTCTAAATAGGTGTAGCAGATATCTCATTAAATATATTTCAGAGACTGAGTTCTTTAATACTTTGGATATTAAACTTAAGTACTTTTTAATCCCATCTGAGGATTCACTATTGTTATTAGTGATTAATTTTATCACTAGTAGTAACAGAAAATACCAGTCCATTATTCATTAAACATTGCAAACTTTAAAACATAAGAAGATAATTATCATTGTATTTAAGACTTTCATATTTAAGATTTAATAAAAGATAGGATCTCTTAAAATGTTCTAAAGTTAGGGTAGTAGACCCATGGAATGCTGCCTTACATATGCAACCTATTGAGAGTCTATGTAGAACATTTAATGTCTCATACTATAAAATAAAGGTCTCTTCCTCCTTTTTGCTTTTCCTTTTTAAAATTATAATCTTCAGCTTCATTCTTCATTCACGTGGCTTTTTCTACCATCATCGAATAGAATCCCAACTTAACAGAGTGATAACTTGACATAGGAGAACAAGCAGACTTGTACTTGAATCCTGGCTCCATTACTGATTAGCAAGGTGACCTTGATCAAGTCACTTCAACCCTCTAAATCCCACTTTCCTCATCTAATGCCTATCTCACAAAGTTACTGTTAGGATTAAATGAGATTATATTAAAGCCTATAGCCACGTATTTGGCACAGAAGGTAACTGGAACTCAATAATGTCTTTCTTTTACAAAGGAAAAAAGCTTGAAAGCTTACTCTCTTGACCACAATTTTACTTGTGTATTAAATAGGGCAGGAAGGAAAGGAAGAATAAAATACTTATCTATGAGGCAAGTAAAACAAACTTTTAAAAATGATCTAGCACTTCTCATTTATCACCTAGAATCATTAGTTATGTTTTGATGTAAATATGTCTTACCTCTCTAAGTAGGTAGGGCAGAAACCTCATCTTAAAATACTTTGGGAATCTCACAACAGCTTGCTCAGTGCATTCCACATAAAATACTTCCAATAAATACTGGTTGACTGATTAAACCTCCAAAAGAGCATTTATTCTTAGGAAAGGAACAAATAGAAATCGAAAGATAGAAAAATAAAAATTAAAGGTAGAGAAACAATACCTATAAACTACTCTCCTTGAATGATTTTTTTTTAAGACAGGGTCTCAATCTGTTGCCCAGGCTAGAGTGCAGTTGCATCATCATTGCAGCCTCCAACTCCTGGGCCAAATTGATCCTCCTGCCTCTGCCTCCTGAGTAGCTGGGACTACAGGTGTGTGTCACCATATTTGGCTAATTTTTAAATTTTTTGTAGAGACGGGCCATGCTATGTTGCACAGGCTGGTCTCAAACTCCTGGCCTCCAGTGATCCTCCTGCCTTGGCCTCCTGAAGTGCTAGGATTATAGATGTGAGCCACCATGCCTGGCCCCTTGAATGATTTTTAATGTGATTTGGGTGAGCTTATTCATTAGCAAATAAAAATACTTATAACTGCTTTTGCTTGGATGTTAAGAGAAGATGTTTTGTTTTAGGATAATGGTTGTTTTTGGAAAACCAGAAATATGTCGAGTTTACATGAAGATCTTAACTTATATAATTTCTAACATATTTAAAAGCATAACAAGGTAAGCCACAAATAACAGGATCTTGTTTTAATTTTTAAAACTTGGCAAAATATCTTAAAATTTAGGAGACACCTAAAGTATATTATAGGATAGACTTATTTAGTTAAATAAAGCTAACCAAGTCTCAGAGTACCCTTATATGAACTTCTGAAATGGATATTTAAAAACACCAAGAAAAAAGATATTGTCTTAATATTAACAATATCTCCAAAATATTTATGAAATGTAAATTAAGGAATTCAGGTGAAATTTAAAGCTGACTGCTAATTTCATTATCTTAAAATAAGTTCAAAGAAGTCACACGACTTAAGCAAAGACTCTTCGAAGAAAAACGAACACTTTAAATAACCACTAATGGATTCTATTTTTGAATCTTTTAAAAATGATAAATTCAAGAATACCCATACGGTATATAAATATTACTATTATACAGAACACATGGGAATATGAACACATTTAAGTATGTTAAAGGGCTCCACTGGGACTGTATCATGTTTATCTTCCAAGAGAGCAATAAAACAGATGGTAGGATCAATTGAGAATGTATAAAAATATTTAGGAAGAGATGTCTGAACACTATGCAATAAGCTATTGAAGGTGCCATTTGCTATCTTGATTAATTCTTTCATAATTTTCTCATTGTTCACAGACTGGTCACGGGAGCTTATATACATACAGCACATGTAGGAAAATGGAAGGCCATGCTGCAGTTTTCCTGGACCTGTAACAGATGCATGTCTTGTCTCTTGGAGACCTTCTATGAGACAGGTATAGCTCTATGAAAATAATCTGGATTTGTACAACAATCCTACTGAGTAGCAGTTATATATAGCATCTGCAGTGGACAACTGCTGATCTCTAGTCAGTGGATCAGGTTATCCTTTCTTTCTATAGAATGGCGGCCAATTCTCTGGGGACAAAAGGCATTAAATCAAATACTATGTTTTAGAGATGGAAGAACGGACGAATGAAGACAAAATATAAATACATAGTTCTTGGGATAGATCCCTTGATGTCTGGCTAAGAGCAGTATTAGGTAGAAGAAGATTCAGACCACAGCATTGTCTCATTTTAAGCACCATTGTATTTCTAGGAAAAATTTATAGAGTTTTCAACCAACACAAGTTCTACGTGAAAAGAATTTATACCACTAAAAACAAAAACAATGCATATGGCTACTTTCTACTGCCACCAACAATAAATACAGGTGTCAACTATCTCTGCCTAGATTATTTCAACAGTTCTGTAATTCATCTCTTGCTTCTTGTTTCTCCATTTTGTTTTTCTTCCTTCACCAAGCAGATTATCCTTTTTCCTCCTATTAATGTATTTTTTTAAAAAAGGAAAAAGTTTACTCACAAAACTATTAAATTAGTATTGGTCTATTTTCATTGTTTTTGTTTGCAAAAACAAATTTTTATTTGTGTTTTCTATACAAATAATTACACCATACTTGCAATATCATAGTTTTTTTCATACTACCTAATATTTTAGGTATTAGTCCATGTTATTATATAGTCTCCATTATCATCAGCTCTATTGGCTATATATTTCATCCAGAGGATATAGCTATGTTTCCTGTTGTTGGAAAGCATTTTAGAGTTTCTAATTACAAATAATGTGCTGAACATCTTCGAAATATAATTTTTTCCTTTTCATATCCTCTATGTATCAGTAAACTGATAAAGCTGGACCAGCTTAATCTCTAGTTCTCTTCGCATTTTAAATCCCCAGGAATGTGATATTCTCTATGGTTAATAGAATAACCTTTTTCAAACAACAATGAGAGTCCTTAGCATACACAAAATACTGGACAAGATGCTGAGGATATTAAAATAATTTATTTCTATGAAAAGGAGAATCTAGGCTTCTACACTTAATCTTTAAGAGGTTTTGCAACTCTGTTATCAGTGTATGTTGAAAAAAATTAGAATTTCTTCATATCTTATTTTAGAATCATTTCAGGAAGGATCAACCTTTTATTCCACTGGTTCTCAAAGGCTGGTGTGCATAAGGGTAACCTGGGAAATTGTTAGAAGTGTAGATTCTGGGTCCTACCCATGGACTCTTCTAGAGTCTTGATTCAGTGTGTCTGGAATTGGTCTAGGAATATGCATTCAAAAACAAAAACAAAAAACAAGAAAAGAAACTCCCCAAAATCCTCTCCAGATAATTTTGATCATGCATTGAAAAATACTGCTTTATTCTTCCTTTTGTCTGACCACTTTAATAGATGAGCTATTGAGAATATAATGGATAATCACTGGACTTGATATGTTATACCTACATTTTAAAGTGAAAAAATGATAAAAACAAAAACAAATTACATAGAATAATTCCTTAATATATTTTCCTCCAAAAGGAAAATATATTAACTCCAGTTTTTGAGCATATTCTACAAAATGAAGAACATCTTCAGTGATGTTTTCTTAATGCCCTAAATGGACAGTTACAAGCTTGTCAGATTTTAAGGCATAGTGCTTTTCTAAGAGAAAGAAAGTTAAAACAAATTTAAACTTTGAATAAAACTCAAAATACAACACTTAAATTTACCAGTATGGAAAAAAAAAAAAAGGCAAGTTGACTGGTTAAAAAATGCATCATTTAGAAGTTTGCCTTATATTATAACTGAATGGGGACTCTGTGTCCTAAAAAAATATTAAAAAGAACTGCTTGCATCCTAAAGCAAAGAGACGTCCACATCCTCCTTATATGTACTCTAAAAAAAAAAAAATCAATTCTGAAATGTGCCAATCCTTTATAAACTTTTCAAAATTAAAAAAGTCATTTTCTTACTTTTGGAAGGAAACTCATTTTTAAGAGATGAAATATAAAAGCCTACTTCTCGTTCAATGTATATATAAAAAAGGAAATACAAGCTGCTGCCCCATGCCAGTTAACGAAGTCTCACCTGAGCAATTGATTCTTTTTCCAAATGAGCTCGAGATCCACACGCAATAGCCATTTGATCCTGAGGAAAAAAGCAATGAAATAGTTTTTTAGCATTTAAATACCAGTAATAAAAATATTTATTTCCAATGTGAATGTCTCATTTTTAGAAATTTACTTTTAAAAATTAACACTGAAAATCTTTTAAAGGTTTATTGAGGAGTTCAGAATACATACAGCTTGAGAAGCCTAATCATACTTATGAAGAGGACACTGAATTTTGCCTGAATAGAGCTACATAAAAAGGGCATGTGTTACTTTAAAATTCATATCTTTAAATGCTGTTTTTCTGAATAAAAATACTATATCAATATTATTTGAGAGAAAAAAATTAGTGGTATTAGAAAGAAAAGAGTTATCTACAGATGGTATGATTTACATACCTTGAAAATCCAAGAACAGCAATTAAAAAAACTATTACAAAGAATTTTAAAAGATTAATGGGCATAAAATGAATATATGTATAAGTATGTTAGCCTTCATATGTACAAACAATAATCAGAAGATACAACAGAAGAAAAGACAGTATTCATAAGATCAATATAAAATAAAAATTGAGAAATAAACTTTATAGGAAAGCTGGCAAGATCTAAAGAAAATATGAAATGCTAACAAAGGAAACAAAAGAATCTAATATACAGAGGATGTGATAATAGCATTAAAAGTCAGTGTTCCCTAAATTAATCTATGAATTTAAGGTCATACTAATAAAAATAGCAAAATGATTTATTACTGAACTAGACAAGCTGATTTCAGAGTTACTATTAAAACAAACAAAAAACAAAACAAGAATCAGGAAAATTCTAAAATAAGGAAGGACTAGTCCCCCAAAATTTAAAAATATGTTACAAAGCTATAATAATTAAAACTAAGGTCCTAGGATGTGAATAGACAAATCCATGGATGAGAATGGAAAGGCCAGAAACACATATTAAAAAGCCATATAAGTACTTAGGAATATGATAAAGGTGACATTTTAAATCGGTGGGAAAAGATAAACTGATAATGGTGTGGGACATCTTGGTAGCCACTTGGAAACAAAATTAAGTTGGACCGAAGCCTCTTAACGGAATACTAGGATACAGCCCAGATACAGCTGTTTTAAGTGTAAAATATCAGAAATCATTTTGTAAATGAACTTAAGGAAGGCAGAAGGCACAAGCACACAAAACCCAGAAGAAATGATAAGGCAATTTGACAATAAGATTTTTAAGAACTGTGTGACAAAACAACAAAAATCCAACAATCTTCAAAGTTAAAAGACAAACTGGAAGAAAATACTGGCAATTTATATTACAGACAAAAAGTTAATTTCCAAAGTGCATAAAGTGCTTCTATGAATTGGTAAGAAAAATACCCAATAATCCAATTAGATAAAAGGCAAAGGCTACAGAGTCCACAAAGAGGAAGTAAAATTAGCTCTTTAACTGAAAATATCCTCAGTCACATTTATACCCAAAGCAATGCAAATAAAACCTATCAGTTTTTATGATACCATGCCTGCCACCCTCTATCCACAGCAATTTGATAAGTTATCAAAATTACAAATATACATATAACTTGATCCAGGATTCCAATAATTCTTCCTATAAATCATTTGCATATGTGTAAAATGACTTTCATGTAGGTTAACCATTTCAATATTGTTGGAAGCAGCAAACCTGCATATCCACCCAAAGGAACTGGCTGTGAAGCTGTGAAAGAATGAGGAAGTACTTTTATGTATAAACACGGCTCAATCTCCAAGATACGTTAAGTGGAAATCAAGGTGGTGCTACAATTTGCAATTTTAAAAAGGATACATACACAGTACACAGCTTCCCCATAAAAGATATGGATAACATTATGAGAAGTGAAAGATGGAGGCAGTTATACTATCTTCTTACACAATAACATTTGAATTTTGAACTATTCACAAAATTAAAGTGTTCATTATAAGAAAACGGCAAGGATATAAATTTACGTATCTGATAAAACTTTAAAGAGAAAAGTTATTATCTCACTACCTAAAAGCAGCCACTGTGTTGTAACATTTTTGTTTATTTCCATGTGCTCTTTTAGAGCCTTTTAGACTTTTTCCTCTGCATGAAAAAAAATATAGCTGAAATGTATTCATGTATAATATGTTCCTTTCCACCTAAAAATTTCTCATGTTCAAGTTCATTGCTTTTGAACTTTTTATTAGGAGTATCTTCAAATATACACAAAAGTGGGGAGAACAGGAAAATGAAGCCCCATGTATGTACCATCTGGCTTCATTAATTATCAACACATGGCCAAATCTTGCTCTGTGTAAAGTCCCTCAGGACCATCCCACCCAACCTGGGATTATTTTGAAACTAATGCTAGACATCATATGTTACAAACTGATATATATTTCAATCATAATATCACTATTATATATAAAACATGAACAATAATTCCTTCATACCATCAGATATACAGTTTTCAAATTTGCCCAATTATCTCATAAAAGTTTTCAATTTGTTTCAATCAAGAACCTAATAAAACCCATACAAACGGGCTTTTATTTCTTCTATCCATGGGTTCCCCCTACTTCTTTTAAATTATTTTCTAGTAATTTATTTCTTGAGGAAACTCATTTGTCCTACAGTTTTCCAGGGTTTGGATTTTGTTGATTGCACCCCCATGGTGATATTCAACATATTCTTCTGTCCTCTGTACTCCTTGTAAACTGGCAGTTAGATTTAGAGGCTTACTAAGACTCAAGTTTGATTATTTTTCAAGAATTAGTCATTAGTAGTGTTGCATGGTAGTTTTTCTTTTTTGTGTTATCAACTGTAAGGATAATACAATATTTCACTATATAGATTTATCAAACTTTGACCATCTACCTATTCACTGACCATTTCTAATTTCATGTTATTATAAACAGGTGCCTGAAAGAACACTTTTGAATAGAAAACTATCTGTATTTCAGATTTCTTTCTTTGGAGACAGCCACAGAAATAGAATATTATGTTAAAAGTCTGAATTTTTAAAAATGCATATGGGCCAAACTACTCTTTAAAAGGCTCTTTACATTCCCACTAACTGGATGTGATACTATTTCATCAAATCCTTGTCAGTTCTAATTATTCTAATTTTAAATTTGCTAATTTAATAAGGCAAAGATTTAACCACATGTGATTTAATTAGCCTTTTTACTTAAAAGGTAAATTAAATAGCACTTACTATTTGCACCATTCTAGGCACCAGAGATGCAGTAAAAAGGCCCCTCTTCTAAGAAAGCTTACTTTCCAATGGGACAGAGAACACTGATTAATTTACAAAATACTTACCTAAATTCTATCTTATCACAGGGATAACATGTTTCCACATGAAATCAATTTCTATCCAACAGGCCCATATTTCTTTAAGAACCAAAATTTTGAATCTTTTCAGCTATAAATCATTCTAAAATCTTATATACTTTCCTGACTTTAAAAGAGCATTTTCTCCTGACAATCATGGGGATATTAAATTTCTGAAAATTTCTGTGGTTAGCACAAATTATGGATGTTAAGATCAAGGTTTTAATCTTCTAAAACAGGGGTCAGTAAACTATGGCCTGTAGGGTCAAATTCAGCCTGTTTTTGAATGGCCTCTGAGCTAAGAAAAGGTTTTTATACTTGTAAAGGTTGTTTTAAAAAAAGAGGAAGAGAACACCACTTCAAAAACTGTATGTGATTCACAAAGCCTAAAATATTTATTCTCTGGCCCTTTACGGAAAAAGTTTGCTATTCCCTGTTCCAGAAGATGCCCACTTCTGAACTAGGTTTTTGGCATTAAATCCCTGCTCTGACAGGCAGCTCTAGGGCTGAGCCACCTTCTCCAGTGATTTGGGAAACACAGTTTGAGGACTCTGCTCAAAGTTTTCTGTACACTCCACCTCTTTTTACATTTTCAAGACTGCTTTTATAATTTTGCATTCTTCTTTGTTTGATTTCATAAAGACCTCAGCAAAATGCTTGTGGAATTGCCTAGTCTCTAAAACAAATGATTTTGGAAGTTAAAGGTTCTCTTTTGGAAGCCTGCTCTTCTGCCCACATATTGAAAGGGTGAAAACAAATACATTAGCCTGTTAGACTTGCCCACGTGGTCCACAAAAAAGGGGGGCAGCACTAATTATCATGTTCTTTTAAGGAACAACCAAAGTATGCATACACACACACACGTTGGTATACCAAAACAGCACTGGCCAAGGATTATACTGAAGACAACACTGAAGGCCATCAGTAAGCAACCACTCCAGACTGAGTTGTGTGTGTGGTTAATATCTGCTTCCTACAGTTTTTAATGTAATTTTACCTCATAACTCTTTTATATCCATTACCTCTAGAAATCTGTGGGCTTAAAAACCTAAAAACTAAACTTGTTAGAAGTATGAGGATTTAAGCTATTGCATTAAAGATAGAATAAGAAACTTTACAGACTGAAATCTAACAAGTTGAAGTTTAATAAACAGCCACACTTCCAATCCTGAACAAAATAATGCAAAAGAACACAGAAAAAAGAAGTACCAGAAATTACTCTATGATCCTGAAATAGAGACTTTTTGTCATATATTTTGCCTGTTCAGGAATTATGGATTCCATTTAGAAAAGGTAAAGTATATTTTTATTAAAAGAGGTAGAGGCTGGGCGCGGTGGCTCATGCCTGTAATCCTAGCACTCTGGGAGGCCAAGGCAGGCAGATTGGTCAAAGTCAGGAGTTCAAGACCAGCCTGAGCAACAGCGAGACCCTGTCTCTACTAAAAATAGAAAGAAGTTAATTGGCCAACTAAAAATATATAGAAAAAATTAGCCAGGCATGGTGGCGCCACATGCCTGTAGTCCCAGCTATTTGGGAAGCTGAGGCAGGAGGATCATGTGAGTGAGCCCAGGAGTTTGAAATTGCTGTGAGCTAGGCTGACACCATGGCACTCTAGCCCGGGCAACAGAGTGAGACTCTGTCTCAAAAAAAACCAAAAACGAGGTAGAATAACCACTGATTAGGAAACTGAAAATTTGCGAGGAAAGCTGTGCACATTAAACAAAAAGATGTGGGAAAAGAAAATAAAAAGTAAACGTTTAGAACTAAAATGTAAATGCCCTATTTGTGTCTTTCATACAAAGCTCTACTTAAATTATGTACATTTGGCTTAAGCCTTAAAAGAACAATTATCTTCAGGAAAGAAATTGTAGGCAACTTTACTAAAATGGCCTTGTAACAATCATCAAACCAGAACATGTGACCTAGTTACTCTAAGAGAAAAGGTAAGTAAGAAGTCATAGTAAATTTCTTTTTGTTGTAATTGAACAAAAAAAATCAGTTGAAAAGAAAACATTAGAAACCACTGAGAAATTTATTAGATAACTTACTTAAATGGTCAAAACAATATTATAGAAGGCATTTAAATTAACTACTGCCATCTAGTGAATCAGTCCTATAATTACAGGACTTGACCACTTTGAAACCCATGTTCCTATTTCATTATTTTCAGAACTACTCCACTCACTGTTTTTATTAGGGCTTAGGGAATTACATGCAAGACATACTTATCAAATTTATGGCTTAAGTAAATTGAGAAAGGAACAGCTATTGCATTAAAGATAGAATAAGAACCTTTACAGACTGAAATCTAACAAGTTGAAGTTTAATAGAGATAAACAGCCACACTTCCATTCCTGAACAAAATAATGTAAAAGAACACAGGAAAAAAGAAGTACCAGTATAGGGATGGGAGAACAAGGCCCCAAAGCAACATATATGACAGAGTTGGCAGTACTCATATGAGGTAACAATGAAGGTGGTAACCAAATTCACATACACTGAAGCATCTTCAATGGAAAATATAAGAAACAGAAACTCGCTATGTTTAAACACTGGTAGAACTACTGACAGAGAAGACACCTGGAAAACAGCTTTGACTCTCTGAAGGGCTGTCGCACAGAAGTGGAGATCAAACTGAGTAACTTAACCAACTGGATTTACCTTTTAGTCTATCATAATTTACTAAAAGGTGGGAAAAGAAATACTTTTTTAGAGTGAACTATAACATATCCAATAATAAATTCACATCATACAAGCAGTATAAGGCAGAACTGTCCAAGAGAACTTTCTGTGATGATAGAGATGCTATCCAATAAGGTAGCTGCTAGCCACAAGTGTTTGAAATGTGGCCCATGAGCCTCAGGAACTAAACTTTAATTTAATTTAAATTTAAGTAGCCACATGTGGCTAGTGGCCACTGTTTTTGAACAGCACAAGTGTAAGGGATATTTTTTACAGCTAATTCTTTTAGGCATTAATTCACTTAGTATGTTAAAAATAATATGTTAGCAATAAAGGGAAGTGGGAGTGGGTGATGGTGTGGGGAGAAGCAAAACTTCACAAACAGTAAAATTAAATAAGTAAATATTTCTAGGAAGATATACAGTGAGTTTTTTGTAACTAATAAATTTTGGGGCTTTTGAGTATTGTTTACTTGTTTCTGTTGTTTAGTTTTTGCTATACTGAATAGAGATTTTAATAAATATATAAATAACATTCAGTTCTAAACTAGGTCTATTTTATTCATAGATAGTTTTATTTATTGATCTTATTTTGGCCCTCAATCTGTTTCCTTAAGTTCTGTAATTTCTTTTTTAATATCATTCTTGCCTTGTCATCTCACCTTTGAACACCTGTATTGTTGAATTCTCATTTTCATTAAGTATTATTTCTTTAGCCAAAATGCTCACGTGATTTTGTCCTTTTCCTTGGATTATATTGCCTTTCAGGTGGGGTTTATCTTTCTTTTGTATGAAACTTTCTTTAATTCTTTTCTTGTTGTAATGTGTTGGTGTAGCTGCCATTTATTCTTGATTTTATCATGACTAACATGGGCAGCTCTCCTACAGAACAAGTGTATTCTCCTTGACATACTTCTACCTTTTCCCCCCTCTAGAGTTTCAAGGCCTGAGTATTATACCTGGCATGGGAGTTGAAGGAGGAAGGACCCTCCCTTGGAGCTCTATGTGGCTTTGGTTATTTGGGTTCCCTTGCTCTGGTGAGATTTTGTCAAGTGCTCCATACAAGGGCACATTCCACTGAGTAATGGATTTGATCACATGGGTCTGTGCCTCCAACTTAGCTTTAAGTCCTAAAAGTAGCAAGCCCTAGCAAGTTTTCTTGCTTCTGTGAAATCCTGACACACAATGTGATGGTAGGTAGGTGTATTGTTTGATGTTGTCCAAGGGTGCTATTTCATTCTGTTTGATTCTTTCCAGACTGGAAAAAAGCTCAAAAGTATTTGGTAAAAAGCTCATAATTTGGTAAATTCACCTTCTTTCTCTAAATGGCTTTTGAAAGGTGGGAGAATAACACTAGGATTTTCTTTCTTTCCTCGATGTCTACTTTTTGAAGTTATAGCATGAAGTTTTACATAGTCTTCTCTGAGTGGTTGCTACCTGTGATTTTTGTTGTTGTTTCATCAAAAAGGCAGTCTGTGATCTATTCTCATTTCACATCTTTACCTGGAAGTCTCTTTTTAAATAAAAGCTGGGCTATGCTTTTAAATAAAAGCCATAAGTGAATATGCACAATAAATATTTCTTTTGTTTTTGAGACAGAGTCTCATTCTTTGCCCAGGGTAGAGTGCCATGGCGTCAGCCTAGCTCACAGCAACCTCAAACTCCTGGGCTCAAGCGATCCTTCTGCCTTAGCCTCCCGAGTAGCTGGGACTACAGGCATGCACCACCATGCCCAGCTCATTTTTTCTATATATTTTTAGTTGGCCAATTAATTTCTTTGTATTAATAGTAGAGACAGGGTCTCGTTCTTGCTCAGGCTAGTTTTGAACTCCTGACCTTGAGCGATCCTCCCGCCTCAGCCTCCCAGAGTGCTAGGATTATAGGCGTGAGCCACCACACCCGGCCTGCACAATAAATATTAAAACTTTGGTAGAAGCAATTAGAAATCAAGACAGAAAAATGGCCACAATATTAAATAAGTAATTGTCAAGTCAATCTCATAAAATCAGTCAATGTTGGTAACAAAATGAGCAGCTCTTCTTTAGGACTGTAATATTTATACAAGAATTGCACACTAAAAACCCCCAATTCTTAAACTTACAGGTAAATTCCCTTTTAATTTTACTTTAGACCTCCTGTATTCCTGATTGAATATCATTTAAACTATATTCTTATACTCACAGGCCAGGGCTGTAGATCATTTAGTCCCTTTTCTAATTTCTCAACATCTGGAAACTTTGTGGCTCCATCGGCATCTGCCATTAGGATCTTTTTTCCTCGAGAACTGAAAACACCCTGTATTAAAAAATGTCAAGTAAAGGAAAATTGCTTAAAATTAAAGTTAAATTCAATGACATTTCAGTTTGTTCTGTTTTATTTAAAATACCTAACAGTGAAATATTAGGTATGAGATGGCAGAAGGAGACCAAAGTTCACTGAAAATAAATACTGTAAATTGATAAGATTCCCCCTACATCAATTTATTGCTTCTCTTTATTATTTTAAAAATTTTGTGAGGTCATACTAATACCTTGAAAAATATCAACATAATAAAATAGGTTTGGACAAACTAAAGATATTCTACACAGCTAAGGATAAAAAAGTAAAATACTTAATATATATGTATATGTGTCATAATGCTTAAAAGGGATCCAGGGCTGTTTAGAAGCACATATAAAGAACATGTTTATAAACAGGTTGAACGATCTAACACATAGACTTGCTGTGAAATACATAATAGATGTTTAGTATTCTTTATTATAGGATCTAAAGCATGTGTGGCCTTCACATCACTGCCGAACTCCTTGAAAAAGTACTTGACCATAGCGGCTGGCTCCCATCCATGTTTCCTCAATCATCCTTTATGCCCTCTGACTATTTCTCATATGCCTCATTTTCTCAAGGAACTTCCTGGTTCTTTTTCCCTCTGACTTCCTCCTTGCCAAGGTACTGGCTTTCGACAATCACCTGACATATGTGGATGGCACACTCACATCCTCTCGCTCTTCTGGATACCACTACTTGTAACCTCAACTGTCATATGGCTCCAACTCAACATATTGCCTCTCCCACCAGCTCCCCCTCCAGTGTGTCATTCTTTCTATTAATGGCATCATCATCATCCTCCCCCATACCCAAGGCCACTGGTACTCATCCTCCCCATCACCAGATCTAATTCTACCTCTTTTAATAGCAACCACATTTGTCTCCACCTTTTCTTCTCTCGTGTCATTCTCTTAATCCAAATGAATATTCATTATACTTTGCCCTACAATGCCACACTCACTGCTGGCTGATTAATTTTTAAGTGTCATTTAGTCAATGGTAAAAAGTTTAAAAGCCCCTAGTCTAAAGTTCATGATCTAAACTCACCCACCCCTCCAGCTTGATCACTCCAGCCCAGCCACATGAAGCATGAGCGGGTCCTTTACTGTGGCTTGTTCTTTCACACCTCTGTGCCTTGGGTCATGTTCCTCCTCTGTTAAGCTCCCTGTCCCTCCAACTTTTTTGTGTGGATAAGTCCTAACCCTCCCTGAAAACTCCATTCAGAATTTACCTCCCCTGGGAAGTCTTTTCTGCTTCTCCCAGATGAAGGGTGGTGCCAATATCTTGCATATATTTCTATTGTATAATAGCATTTAAAAACACTATATGGCAATGGTCTGTTTCCCTACTAAGCTGTGATATCCTCAAAGATAGAATGGGTGTCATCTTTCATCTCGGTTATCTCTAATAAAGTGCAATATTGGCTGAATAAACAAATGGATAGATTTAAAGCCTATTTAAATTGATGATATTGCATCAATCCTACCTTCTCTCTTTCACATATCCTGCGAACCAGTCACGGTGAATCACTGTTTCTAGTACATATCCCAAGAATTCTTACTTCTGTTACTTCTGGCTTTGCTGAATGGCATGCCATTTTCTCAAATCTTTCTTTATAGAGTTATCAGAGTGGTGAACAGCATGGATTTCAGAGTTACATTAACCTAAGCCAAATCTTGACCCTACCTGAGCATCTATGTGACTTTGGTTAACTTACTTTACCTATCTATGCCTTACTTTCCTCATCTATACATATAATCAAAATAACAGCACCAAGATCATGTGACACTGTGAGGAGGATTACGTGTCATAATTATGGTGAAGTGGTTAATTTACTCTCTAGTTCAAAATAAACAATCAGTACACCACCCCTGGAACCCTGGCTTCAATGACATCTCTTTTGTGAAATCTGCCATTTCCCTGATATGGCTGTGACTGTTAGTTACCTACCCAAGATCTACTCTTTCCTTCCTCCTTCCTGATTTGGTTGGGAATAAAAATATTAAAAAAAAAAAAATTCTCGGCCTTCCTTGGAAGTAGGGGTGGCCCTGTGACACTATTCTGGCCTATAAGATATAAGTAAAATTTATCACTAAAAGTTAAGTTATTGGCCTTAAAAATGGTCAATCCAGCCGGCATGCACCCTTTAAACTCTGCTCTTATCCTTGCTGTTTGGAATGTGGATGCAATAGCTAGTGCTCCAGGAGTCACCTTCTGTCCCTGAGGAAGAAGAAGTGAAACGGTAGAAGCCCAGGTTTCTGATGACACTGTGGAATTGCTGAACAACTCCTGGACTGTCCACCTCTACACTTCTTTTTATGGGTGAAAAATAAACAAACCTCTAAGTAATTTAAGGAACTGTTATATGGCTTTTCTTTCACATATCTTGATTTCTGAACTTTCTTTCAGTGTATATTGATTGCTGATACACGTCAGCTGAAAGTAATGTCTTCTTTCTTAGTACTCCATCTGTGTGTCTCCCATAAGTACAATCACCTTCGTTTTTACTTATGCAAAGGCTTAAACTATATATCTCATCATGGTAGAACCAAGTTAGATTCATCTTTGTTCACATTATCAAGCATAACATAGTGCCTTCATATAGGTAAAACACAAAAGCATTTTGTAAATTACATAAATAAATAATACAAATCACACAATCTTACCTGGTAATTATATTAAAGATACACAGACATAACATTTTAAACTTTGATTAAGATAAAATGTATTTTATCAGACATAACATTTTAAACTTTGATTAAGATAAAATGTATTTTTATTAATCACCCAGTATTTTATAATTATGACATGGTATTTTTAGATTTGATTAAAAACATATGAAATTATTTATTAAGAATATATTGTCACTAACTTGAATTGCTGGAATTCAACCAGCCAGCTGTAGAACATACATGTATAAGTTTGCAAAAGAGGTAATTCAAAATACCTCTTTTAGATAAAGATGTTGAAAATACATATTACCATCCTAATGGCTCCGCCTTTCCCACGATTCTTCACCAGCGTTATCACTCGTATTTTGTCACTTCCATATCTCTGGCAATATTTAAAAGCTACCTGTCAAATTATATAAAAGTTAGAATAAGATTAAGTGGACTCTAAAAGAGTTATATAAACTGGGTTTCTCATTTTGGCTCAAACACTGCTATTGCAGTTCACCCCTTTTTGTGACAAGATTATACCCACTATACATTTTGGTGTCCCTAAAGAGTTGTAGAATCCCTGGTGCCAGGATATGACACTGACCTGCTAGACTGAAGTCACAATTCAATTTCCTACAGGGAATGACCAGAATAGGCAGTGATCTTCTCTTCTCTTGATTCCTTTACCTAAGCCACTGAGCTGCTAGAAAAAATAAAAGTTGTGTGCTAACTGACTGGTACAAACTTGTGATGGGCCCTCAATACTGGTTAGCAACATGTTTACTTGTTCAGGTGAGCAACTATTTATCCTGGACCATTTCCCCTCAATTTTTTTTTCACTTAAGGACCTCTCTCTCAGCAGATATCTATACTGTCACTTGTTCTCTTCTGAATCTTCAATCTCTTCCTCTCTCCACAGCCTCAAACTTGCTAATGCCACAACCATCCTATAATCTTCCCTTTGACTTCACAATTATCTTTCACAACTACCACCACGCTCTGATTTATAATCAAAATCATGAAACAGTGATATACATTTGCCATCTACATTTCTCCATCACTAATTTATTCTTTTTTTTTTTACATTTAAATTTTTTAAAATTTTTAGGTCTTTTTCTCTTTAATTTCAAAATATTAAGAGGGCATTTTTGTTACATGGATATATCCATTGTAGTATGGCTCACACCTTTGCTTTTTTTCCACATGCCCTTTCTATTTAACTTTACTCCATCAAAGGCACCCTCCCTTCTGACAGTCATTTCCATACAGCTATAAAGTCATCTTTATCTGGTATTTTCCCTCCTCCTCCAACTGTTCCCCTTCAGTTTTCACCATAAACTCCTTTTGCTCAGCTTCCCCTTATATGCTGATAATCCCTACAAGGACCAACCCCACCCTGTATAACCACACACCTTATGGGCAAACCCTGGGCGATCTTTTCTTCTCGATAGATAAGCTCAGTGGGAGCCACTGCATAGGTTTAATTACCACTTTATATTATGAATCTCAAATATCTGTTTATAGTCCAGGCTTCTCTCCTGTGTCACCTACAAAAACCACAGAATTTCATTCACCTCCTCCTCCTATTCCTGCTCAGTCCATATTCCTCACTGCAGCAAATGGCATCACCACCTCCCAAATTGCTCAAGCTAAAAGCCTGAGAATCACTTTCCATTTTATCACCTGTCACAATTCCCTGGCTACTACAACTCATCAAATTGATTTCTAAAATGCCTCTCAGCTCCATGCCATCCCCACATCTTACTGACCTCATTTAGAGCCTTATCCCCTGAAGTCTCTACATCTCTAACCTGACTCCCCAATTCATTCCTCAAAGTTTATGAGTAACCTTTCTAATATGAAATTGGTTCATGTTTGCCCTGTTCCAACAGCCTCAATGATGACCTATTGCTTAGTATGAGTTCCTTATCATGGCACAGGAGACCCTTTGGCCCTCACCTAACCTTTTTAGCCAGTTTCGGAGGCTTCCCCATTAGTATCTAATACATCAACAGTATTTGAGATTTCCAGAACATACCATGCTCTCACACTTCTATGCCTTTTCTTGGAACGTTGCCTTCTAGCTTCTTCAATTATCAGGCCAGCTTAAGACTCACTTGAAACACCATTTCTTTTTCCTAGCTTCCGTGCCCATCCTCACCTTCACCCAGGAAAAACGAAAGTATAAATCTAATAATAATATATACTCCTAAAGCATTTTCTCATCCAACTGTTACTTTACTCATCACATAATGCAACTGCAGACTTTCCCAACTAGGGTGTTAGCTACTTAAAAGCAAAGATTAATACTTCTAGTGCTTGACACAGTGTGGAATTGATCAGTTTGAATGAGCATGTGCAGCCATGGTCCTTTGCACACACTCCTACTGTAGCACTGTGGCAGATGCCGATAGCCAGCTGCCTATCCAACAAACAATGCCTCCTTCTTCTTTGCTGTTATGGCCCTGATCCTGCACGATGACAACTGTGCAACCCTAGGGGATGAACCAAGATTGCTCTAAGTACTCTTTGCCAAATACTTCTGCTGCCTCCCTGGCATGCTGAGTGGTCATGTCACCAAGTTCTGGCTCTGAACACTGGGTATGGTAGAGAGTGTTGACTGGAGGGAAGGAGAGAGGAGTAGAGCCTTCTAGAAAAGCTTTTTATTCCTAGTTAAAAAGGAGAGAGGCACACAGATTCTTAAAGACCTGGCTGTCTCTTAGTGCTTCAGGTCATATAATATTCAGAGCTGTGGTCATTTTGTGATGAGGGAATGCATAAAAACCAAGAAGATATGAACCCGGCGACTTCACAGTTTAAATGCTGAGCCAACACTAGAATCTACTTGTCCAGACTTCCTGGCGTATAAGATAATTAACACATTAACTGCCATGTGAGTTGTATTTAACTCATGCCAGTTTTGAGCCAGGGGCCTCGTGAAGCAAAACCTGGACAAAATCCTCCTGTTGGTTCATGAAAATCTTACTTGTTGATGTTCATGTTGTTACAATTAATGTTGACAATTCTAAAAATGTAGATTGAATGAATAGAAGTCAATAACAAATTTTTCATTTGTTATTGTTTTCATCCTTTAATTAGAAATTTCATAATAAAACACCGTGGCCCCAAGGAAAACATTTTTTTTCCTAGTGCAGCAGTCAATGTGTTAAATACCTTTATTATCTAAGCTACTCTCCCAACTGATAAAAATGCCAAACACGTTGTGCTCTAATTACTTGGATCATCTCTCTCCTATGAGATGCAAACTCTTGCATCTTTGTATTCCAGTCCCAGTCAGAACCCTTGACTCCTGCCTAACAGCTCAAGAAATGTCTATTCAAAGAACAATTTATTTGTGCTATTAATGTTTATCCTGAAAGGCACAAAGCTTGATAGTCATCACAAGACCCAAAACCAGGAAGACAAAGTCATTGTGCAAGCTGAGTGAACTCAAAAGAACTTTACTAGGTCAGGATGAAAGGCTCCTCCTAAAGAGCATGGTATCTTGGGAGGCTGAGGCAGGAGGACTGCCTGAGCCCAAGAGTTAGTTCAAGACTGTAATGAGCTATGATCATACCACTGCACTCCAGCCTGGGCAATAGAGTGAGACCGTGTCTCTAAAAAAAAAAAAAATTATGGTATCAAGATTTGAAGAAAGCAAACATTGTTGAAGCCACGCCTGTTTGGAATAGATGCATGTTGAAACTTTATAGTATGACATCTGGAACACTCCAGCAGCTGTCACTTGCCCAATGTTTGTGAACTGAGTTCATACTGAGTGCTTATTCATCTTTCTTATATGTTATTTAAGGATGTAATAAATGTCACTGTACAACTACAATATTCTCTTATATTGTACTCCTTAGCCTGAAACCCCTCAAGAACAAGAACTGTATCTAAAATTTTCCTAGTACCACTCAGACTTTGAGACATTTAATAGGCAATTAATAAATATTCAACTTAGGGAAAACTGGTTTCTCTTTTTAAAAAAATAAAAACTTCTACTAAATATCACTTCACACTTCCAATTTCTTCCAACCTTGGGAGCAGTAAGGCCAACTGCTAACCTCTTCCACACCTGTCCTACTGAGGAGAGGGTATCTCTGATCTTTCCATAAGAGAAGCCTGCCACTCACAGGCCAAAGGCCACCACAAAAGTGCTCCTTAGGAGAAGTTACTTTTCCTTAGCTGGGTTGAGGCTGCTTCTGTAATCTCAGCTGTAAGCATCTAGTCTTTATTTTCGATGTTATTCTCTTCATGTATTATTAATAAACTGCTGAGACAGTTTGTGTTCATAACTTTCATGTCACACTCACTATTCAAAGTGCAGCAATTATTCTTACTCAACCACATCCCACCAGTGCTTTCTGGCCTCTATGCCTTTGTTTATACAATTTTTCAATCTGACTATACCATCCTCCACACTCCTAGTCATAACCAACCTTGAAGGTTTAGTTCGAAGGTCAATTCCTTTCTCTCAAATTCTTTATAGAATTCTACCTTTGGCTCCACATTTTACCTGCATTACATTAATTTGTGGGTGTGTCACATGATTGCCCTGAGAATCCTTCCACAAAGGGACGGGCTCCTGTGTTTGATGGCCCATCCAGTGTCTGGCATGTCATGCACAGCTAGTATTTAACAAAAATCAGTAACTGATGAATAATCAAGTGAATGATTTATTTCTCTGTACATTTACTTTAAGGTCTATTATAGTGCTATTTAACAAGACTATTAAGAGTATCATAAATGAATCTTTTATTATAGGAAACACAAATGTCAAAAAAGAAAACGTGAGGCATTCTTAATAACAAAAACATTTAGATATCTGGAGAGTAACTTATGAGGGACACTGGTGAGATTTATTTAATAAATGTACTACTACAAAGATGAGTGCAGCCATGCCAGGTAGATACAGGTCTAGGAATGTAGGAATGAAAAGGGATGAAGGCATTATGATTCAGACACTGGCACCTCCTGGGGTAAACCTAGACAGGGTATGCCAAAGGACACACCTGATTCCCAGTGGCGGATATGAAGGCAGCTTCTTATTGGTATGACTGCTTTAAAAATTGTAATGCAAGGTGGTGCATAAGGAAAGGAACTACTATGCTTAAGAAAAAGGAAGTGTAAATTGGTAGGCAAAGAGGATTCCCTAGAGGCCAGGGAGAAATGTTGCTGGGTATGTTCCCTCCCTTTGAAGATCTGGTGATCTTCAAAGCTTCCCTGGCTTATGGAGCAGAGGAACAGCTGATATATTCTCCATCTTTCCATAAATGAAATCTCTGTTTTTTTCTACTGCCCACACTATAACAATGGAGAATATGAGGCACAGTTTTAGGGTCCTCTGGTGAATGGAGATGAGATTTCACATGTGCTAAATTACTCTATATTTTCTATCTACTGGCAATTCTAAAAGCAAGTGCATTTACCTTTGAAGTCTGGTCTTTACTGCCATCATCAACTACTATCACTTCGTAAGTGAACGTAGGATCTTGTTTCTGCAAGAAGCAAAAATAACATGACACAATTTGGCATAACTGCCATCAAGAATTCTAATAAAACTGTATGTAATGGAAAAAACAATTTAGTGTTGATATGTATAAATTTGAATATAAATATTACTGCACAAACCACATACAATAAAAAGGCTAAGAACTAAGACAGGAAAGATACTGAGCAGGAGCAAGGGTGAATACTGACCAGATCCCCTGCTGCTCTTCCCCTATCCACCCTGCACTATGTGGGTGGAAGAAGCCGGGTACTTGTGGTGCCACCGCACATCTGTGAGAGGCTATAAGCGTATGAGGAAAAAGCACATGAGGCTTGAAATCAGAGGGACTTTCAACTCGGCTGCAGCACTTCTTAGCCTGATGACCTTGGGCACCTTAACTTTTTTGGCCCGTTTTCTTATTTTAAAAAAAGAACAAAACAACCTGGTCCATGTGGCTGGTGGAAGATTACCTATAATTGAAGCAGCAGCCTCACACATAATAAAGGCTCAGTTCTCTTCCTCTTTTCTATAAATTTAATTTTTAGAATAGGTAATATGGCCCCTACTCTTTCAGTGAATCTTCTATCTTCCCTTTATATAAAAAACCTACAAGCAAAGTACATCAAAACAAAGAATTTTTTTTTAAATAAAGAACTAGCTATAAAAACTCACTTAATTTTTAACCTCTCCAAGGAGATTCCAATGGCAGCTGATGTTATAAAAGAGGTTTATATATTATTTTTCTTCTCTTTACATATGGAAGAGGAAAATATGTGAGGGGGGGATCTTGAGAATAATAAAGACAGACAAAAAAATAATTTCAACTTAAGTCTTTAAAAAATATAGCTTTCTTAAAAATCACAAAAATAAAAACAGCATTGTGCCATTATATTAATATAAAGTCTGCAGATGTACACTGTCACTCAATTTTAAATACAGCATCAGGAAAGAGAGGATAAAAAGTAGGTACGAGGGAACAGAAACAGAAATGTCAGCCTTCTGGTTTGTCCTGGGGTCACCCAGCTGCCCAGCAGCAGTGTGCTGTGTGCTAGGCTTGCCTGCTAGCAACGAGCTGAGCAGTGGGCGGCCCAGCCATCAGGGCAGTGTCAGGACTGCCTTTCATGGTACATCTAGCTTGGGGTCCACAAGTTGGTGACCTGATCTAGTTTTAATTGGAGCATCATTTTAAAAGAAAAAAACATGATACCTGTCTCTTCTCTAGGTAGCCCAGAGCTTCATCCATCATAACAGGCACTTAAAGAAAAAAAAAAAAAAAAACACATTAAGAATCGCTTTTGAAAATTATTTTCAAAGCCCAGTACACTCAGTTTAAATGTGGAAAAGGCCCCAATAATCTAATAAACCCCTCTGGGACTTTCCCCCATGACCATTCCCATCTGGAATGTCTGCCTGCTCACGTTTTGCTCATCATTTCTCTGGAACACTTAGGGCCCACTGACTCAGGATGCTGTTGTGTTCAGGGCAGAAAATATTCACATTCCCTCTTCTGAACCACAACAACTACCAACCATACACTCACCGCAGCCCACATCTGTTAATGTTCTGGAAAAGACAGTGAAGGCAAATACTTTAAATTTTTTTTTCTTCTCAAATTATCCCTTACCGAAAAAATTAAATAGGGCTTACACCGTTTTTCTTCATTGTATGAAGGCACAACAACAGAAAGTTGTTTGGTAGGTGAGTCCCATATGCTGGGTAAAGTTTCCTTCTGGCCTTTGGCATTTAAGAAGAACTTCTCTTCTTCATGTCGATGAAGTGATGGCATTTTTGTAGCAGTTACAAATGCAACAATGAAAATCTAAAAGCAGGCAGACATAAAAAAGAAATTATGTTATACTCACTTTTTTTTACATTTGTTAAACTATATCATCTGCATGATCTTTTTTTTGTGGAATACTGTTTTTCATTCACTAAAAATGGTCTGGAGGTGACTACAAAATTAGACAGTCCCCTAATTATTCCCCTAATCATGATCTGATGACTGTCCTTTTTTTCCATTAGTATGCAGCTAATGCCTTAGGAGGCTCTTAGTTTTTGCCCGTCTGTCATTACACAGGCGTCATCCCAGATGTAATAGGGAACAGTCACTATAGGAAGTCCAGTATACTCTTAGATGCCCCGAAACCCCAATCCCTAGCACACATGCACTCATGTACACACACAGTGGGGTGCCGCCCCTACTTGGAACCTACATATGTCAGAGGACAAGTTCATATTGTAGTTGGAATGTGTGCGGTGAGGACGGACTTCCCATCCAGGACTGGACAGACTTCCCATCCAGGACCAGACAGACACAGAATATGAAGGGAAGATTCATCTGACCCCCTGCCCCCACCAAGTAGGAACCAGTAATGCTTAATGTTTTTGATATTTATCCCAAATAAGAATTTGTAAAATAGTACTTTCTGGAGTAAAGTATCAAAACTTGTAGGGCTCTCTTTCATATGCACTTGGGAGGTAGCTTTGGAAATAACCATTCTTTGTAGCACTATTTCTGTTGGTACATTTTCTGCTTTCAAAACAACCTACCTATTTTTTGTATGTTACTCATTTGGAATTAGATGACTATTTATATTTAATAATATTCTATTGGTACAAACAGCAACTAAATATGCTTCTGATTAGTATGAACATAGAGGCAGTACCCAGAACAGTAGTTCATGCTCTGTACCCTGGTGTTCTGACTGTGATTTACAAATTCAATTTCTCACTAAAAGCAACCAGTGTTCGAAGAGGATGATTGAATCAGATCTGGGGAAGAGAATGTAAAATGGTGAAATAGCATGTCATACCAGAAAGTGAAAACGCTATTAATGACTATAAGGGCTGTGTCAAAAGGACAAAGTAGTCAACTTGAAGGGACTAGCCTATGATGGGAGGATTTGTGCAGCAAAAAGAATAATTATTGTGATGGATCGAAACACATGAAAAATATTTTAAATCATGAATTGACAATGATACAAAAAATAAAAATTGGTCACCTTTATAAAATGCCAGGGAACCATCTCATTATTTTAAAAACTTGCCTTTATCTTTCATGTTATGTGTGAGTAGTATTTCAGGGTGACTGATTAGTTGAGGGTGAGATTCTTTTCATTATAAAATTCTAGTTAATAAATGAAGAAAGAATGATACAATTAGAATATTCTACTTTGCAGCCACAGTGAAATAAAGCATCTAGGTAATGATCCTCAAGTTCTGCTAAAACCATTAGGCTGATGACAAACTTTGTAACAGGTAGGTCTGGCCGACAACACCTGAACCCACTGAACCATCTTAACACCAGAGACAACCAGCCATTACAGGCCTCCTGATGTGATATGTGAGCAAGTAGTAAGTAAGCATCACTCACATATTTTTCTTGATTAAAAAACTCAAACATGCATTTGATCAAATCTCTAGATCTTGACTGTACCAAACTGAAACATATATATGAAGACATAGGCCAAACTCATGCCTGTAATCCCAGCACTCTGGGAGGATTGCTTGAGGCCAGGAGCTCAAGACCAACCTGGGCAACATAGCCAGAACCCTGTCTCCACAAAAAATATAAAAATTAGCTGGGCATGGTGGTGCGATGTATTCGGGAGGCTGAGAAAAGAGGATTGCCTGGGCCCAGGAGTTCAAGGCTGCAGTGAGCTATGATCACCCCACTGCAACCCAGCCCGGGCAACAGAGCAAGACCCTGTGTCTAAAAAATAATAATATAAAAATATACTGAGACTATATGAGATAATTGAAAGCATGCAAACTGAAGGGGCATTTGAAATCACAGAACAGTTACACTTTCAAAAACATCTGTGATCACCTTAGTGTGGTATTCTTAAAAGGGGATCCTTATCTGTTAGAAATAAATGCCGAAGATTTACAGGTAAATGTTGTGTCCTGGATTTTTTAAAAAATAATTCATTATATATGACAATGTAATAATAGAAATAAAGTGCACAATAAATGTAATGCACTTGAATCATACCAAAACCATCCCGTTCCTCCCCTGCTCCAATCCATAGAAAAACTGTCTTCCATGAAACTGGTCCCTTGGAGACCGCTGGCACAGCGGCCTTCGTGGTAGTGCTGTCTCAGCAGCTAATCTGAACGCGAAAGAACCTGAAATCCCATCCACTTACTAACTAGCTGGCAGGATCATTCCAAATCATGTTGGAGAGAGTTCACTTGGCAAATTTTCTATCACTTATGGATCAGGAAGTGGCAAGTCTTCACTAATGTTCTTCTGTTTCCAGAGCAATGGCAAAGAAAACTGAGTTTGCATCCTATCGTCCTGCCTCGTTTAGACGCAGTCTATTTAGGGTGTTTAATTGTAGGACACAACGACCCCCAGACATATGGAGGCCTGGGGCCTGTCTCTCTTGCTCACCCTGCGACTGATTTATCCCCAATCTGTGACAATGCTCCATTCACCACTTCCTATGATATCTGCTTAACCACGCCAGGGAAAGGGAGAGTCTAGAGAGCACACCCCTTCTGGGGGCTCAGGCCCTGGGCGGGTGGCGCCAGAACTGCAGGGGAGGCGGGCCCAGGAGGAAGTATGCGAGAGGTCAAGGGTGACCCGGCGGACGGGCAGGGGATCCGGGGACCCGGGCGAGTGAAGGGGGGATGGAAGGCTGGGAGGGCGCGTCCCGACGTGAAAAAAAACACACAAGGCTCTGAGCACACAGGGAGATAAGGTTCTAAGAGAAAAATAAAGAACTGGAGAAAAGGGGAGCAAAATTCCAGGAGACGAAGTTCTGGGGGCAAGAATTAGAGGGACGCTGGGTGAAAAGGGACGTGCCAAAGGGCGGGCAGCGCGGCGGAGGGGACGCCTGGGGAGCCCAGTTTCCAGGACAGCGGCGAGCGCCGGCCCGCGCCGTTCCCCAACCCCTGTCCTCACCAGTATGAGGGCTGCCGCCACCAGCGCCACGCCGAGCACCGCCAGCTGCAACAGGAGCGGAGCCATCCTCCATGCCGACGCCGCCACCGCCCGCCGCCCGCCGCCCTATCCCGGGCCTACACACACGCGGAAGCGCGCTCTCACGGTCCCGCCCCCCGCTGCCACAGAGGCCGCGCCGGCCGGGCGCCCGCCGCCCACACTGCCCCCGCGCGGCGAGGCGGAGAACACGCAGTCTCGTGTGCTAAGCGCCCAGTCCGTGGACAAGCGGGCACAAGGTTCCCTAGTGGGGTTGCCCTATTTAGCAAGTAAAGTAACAAGGCGTCCCCTTAATTTGAATTTCATATAAGCAACTAATAATTTTTAACAGCCTTATTGAGATGTTCGCATACCACACAATTCATCCGTTTAAAGCCTTTTGGTCTATTACATTAATTTTTTAAAAATTGTGGTAAACTAAACCAAAATTTGCCACTTTAACCATTTTGGTGTGCACCTATCACCACTATCTAGCTCTAAAACTTTTTTCGCTCCCCCCACTTATGGTAACGATTAATTAAAATTCACTATTTGGGGCATAATCATACTTTAAAAAATTACTGTTTATCTACATTTAAGTTGAATTGGGTGTCCTGTATTTTATCTGGCAACTCTACCTAGGAGCGAGATGGAAGCGTCCAGCCACGACATAGCCTACAACACAAGCTGATCCTCTGGAGCCAGCTCGGGACAAGCAAAGTGCAACCTGGTGGGGATAATGAGCGCACACAGAGTTCACGTTTCTCAGGTCTGGAGCAGGGAGCCCTTTACCTGGGAAGAGGCAAGCCCAGTGCCCAGCCTAAGACAAAGGCGGGAAAAAGATGCAGAAATATTGGAATAATACGCCACATGCAATTCCCGAAGGTTTTCCAAAGGTTTTTCCAAAGAGGGACAACTAGTCACTTCCCTAAGAGCAGATTCGTCAAAATACATCCAGGGCAAGGAAACTAGAGGGGAGTCTGGCTAGGGAAAGTCGAGGTGAAGGCGGGCCCAGGACCACTCTCGTTGTATCCCTGCCTTAGGCGTCTTCTGCTGAGGGAGGAGGTCTCGGGCGTTGGTGTCGAAAGTACCGCGGCGGAGCGGGCGCTCGGGCCGTACTGACGGCGCAGGCGCGCGGAGGCGGAGCGGCGCAAGCGCAGGCGCGCGGGCGGGAAGATGGCGGCTGGGTTCAAGTGAGTGTCAGTGGCTGGTGGATGGTGTTTCCTTTAGTCCTAAACTGAGATTTTTTTCACCTAGAGGCTGACGCCGCCAAGGTTCCTTTTCTTTCTCCGCCGAAGCAGGAGACTGTTGGAGGGCCTTCATAGTTGAAGAATATGCTAAATTTCAGTTACAGTGGAAATAAATATGTAACTCCCCCCCTTCCTTGAATTACCTAGTAAGATGTAACTTTCATGATCACTAATTTTAGAATCCATGCTTTACAGCAAGAATGGAAGGATTATTTTAACACCTGGACAAATCCTCTTTTAAAAATTTCAAAGAGCTGCGAACTCCAGTCTGTTTATTTACAGTTACAGCAGTGAATGTGATTGCTACTACAAGAATTTCTACTTTCTGTAATTACTTTTAGTTACAAATTGTGATTTATGCTGCATCACCACACTTAAGATCTTTCTCAGTTTTGAATTTATGTTAAGATTCATTAACTTACCTCATATATTTTAACACGTGTTTCAGAACCGTGGAACCTCTGGAGTATTACAGGAGATTTCTGGTGAGTAAAGATGCTTATGTGCATGTTATACCTTTTGATAACATCATATGCTGCTTTCAAAGATAAATTTCAAGTAATTCATTTGAATTAATGAGGTTCGATGTGTTTCCCCTGGTTTTTGTAAAATACGTGATATTGAGTAAAATATGTAACAGATGTAATCTATATTTATATAAATATTATATTTATTTAGAAAGAGAACTGCCGTCCTGATGGAAGGGAACTTGGTGAATTTAGAACCACAACTGTCAACATAGGTGAGGATATATTTCCAATTTCAACTTTATGACATTTCCAAGTCTTAGTCTGTGTACCAGTTACACTGGTTTTCTGCTAAATTCTAACGTATCTAAGAGATTTGATGATTTTGTGTCAAGAGATTTTTATCTGTACAACAGCTCTGTGAATGAAAAATGATTAAGTCAAATTCAAGAACAAGTGAATAATTCTTAAAACATTAATTTTAAATGGTGTAAATAATTATAAAATGAATGACCTGAACATAGAATAAATTTTCATAAGCAACTGAGATGTGTAGCAAGATAATCATATGCTTTAGCAAGCTAAAATTTAATTTTAATTATAGATAATTCTGTAGCTGTTTTCCTTCTATTTACTTTTCATTTTGCTTAAATACTTATCTTTTCAGGTTCAATTAGTACTGCAGATGGTTCTGCTTTAGTGAAGCTGGGAAATACTACAGTAATCTGTGGAGTTAAAGCGGTATGTTTAATATACTGTTGAGATTTGAGTTACCAAATTAGCTTCATATATTTATTAAATTGTATTGTACATCTACAGTTCTGCTGATAAAGCAGTCAGGGTATCAGTGTTTTAGTATTTTAGTTTCCCAAGAGCTTTCACCTATCAATATTAGATAATACAACCTGTCTGATGACTCTTTAGATAATTTATGAACATTTGTCAAGTGTACTGCAATGAAACTTTTAAAATCTTTATCTTTAATTTTTAAAGAATTTGGTTGTATTGTTTGAGAAATTGAGATTTTTTGTGACATCTCTTAAACCAGGGATGGCATTTAATCTGTGTAAATGTGTGGAAAATTAAGATTGTTCAAAAGAAAAGTTTGAAGAATACAAGCTACCATCTACTGAGTACCTGGTGTGTTCCAGGCACCTTATTAGGTGCTTTAGAGAATTATCGTTTAATCTTCAGAACAATCATTTGTTCTTTCTCTCCATCTCCTGTTTTATAGACGAGGTTCAGTAACTTGTCCATGTACACAAGGCTCATAAGTAGAAATTACAACATAAGTCTGACTCCAAAGCCTGTGCTTTTTTGACTACACTACACCCTGTGTTGCTTAACCTCAGTTGGGATTCTTCCTCAATAAAGCTGGGGTAATATCTAACAGTAAGATATGAGTACTTACTCCTTGCCAGGTATTATGCTAGGGACTTAATGGCATATCTCATTTGACCCTTAGGAGTAGACACTACAGATGAGAAAGTTAAAGGTTAAATAACTTGCCCCAAATCTCTCAGCCAATAAGAGTGTGACATGTGAACTGGGATAGTAGTGATTGCATAGCTTTTGCTCTTGACCACTGTACCACCCAGTTCCTAAACCTGGCCGTCAGATCACCTGGGGATTAAATTCAGATTCTTGTTCACTGAATGACTAGAAGGGAGGGTGGGGCAGAAACCCAATTAGTATATTTTAAAAAGTCCCCAGGTAATCCTGATGAGCAGCACTATAGTAGTCCACTATACTACACTGCTGCCTTACCTTGCAGAGATACTGTGAGGTTCAGTGCTAATGTCCTTATAGCCCCTAACACAATTCCCCAAGCATAGCTCATGATGTGGTAGTTAACTAGCTAAGGTGGTTTCTGGTAGAGCCATGCATAACTGATTGCTAAATTATCTTCACAATTTTTTAGCAGCTTTGTTCAATAGGAAACATTTCTTTTACTCTTGTAGGAGTTTGCAGCACCACCAACAGATGCCCCTGATAAAGGATATGTTGGTAAGTTAAATGATTTCATGATTCTAATACAAATCCTTTAATATGTTTAATAGTAATTGTACTTTTAAGTCCTACTAGTTGAATTGAGGTACAGAAAATTATTCCTAACATTCAGAAATACATAGACTTGAATCACATTCCCCAAAGTTTTCTATATATTTTTAGCAGAATATAGCATAATAGGAAGATAATAGGACTTCATAAATTTAACCCTTATCAAACTTGGGCAAATTTTGTTTATACATTCAGATGTTATCGACCAAGAAAATAGAATTTTTTTTAGCCAAAGGGCTGTCCCTGGAAACTTTTGTTTCCATAGAGATTCTTCATTTCAGAACACTATGTGATTTTTTTTCTTGTTTTGGACCATTTATTCTTTATGGTAAGAACCAACATTTTTAAAATGTAAAAAAGTTGGGTGTGAGCAGAGGGGCTATCTTCTGTTACAGATTGAGTTATTTTGAAAGAAATCAGGACAACTTTTGTGAAGGATTTAGGAGGAATGAGGCCTAATATAGATTTTTTAAAATTTGCATGGAAAAGAAGTCAGAAAAAGGTAAATTTCATTTTATCTAAGCCTGGGAATCTTACAGAGACCAGAAAGAATATAGTTACAATGCATTCTACTTGGAAAAGCCTATATTCATGGCCATAATTGCCTTTACTCTGTATTGCTAATACCTTTAACACTTCAGTAAACCAGAGGGTTAAGTTTAGTTCACAGCTGTAGAGTGTTTCTTTCAGTTCCTAATGTGGATCTACCACCCCTGTGTTCATCAAAATTTCGGTCTGGACCTCCTGGAGAAGAGGCCCAAGTAGCTAGCCAATTCATTGCAGACGTCATTGAAAAGTAAGGCCACATGGTAAAATTTTACTATGATTCATTTTCAGATCATTTTTGACCTTTCATTTACTGTGCTCTTTGTCCTTAAATCAAGTTCACAGATAATTCAGAAGGAGGACTTATGCATTTCTCCAGGAAAGGTAAGAGCTGAAGAGAGAAGCTACAAGCTTTTATTAATTCTGAAGTGGTTTTTTTTTGGGGGGGGGGCGGGGGGGAACAGGGAAATCTCAACACAAACTACAGTAGCCTTAAATGTGGATATATTGTAGATTTTAGATGAAATTCAGTAAAAAAAAGTCTTAAGTTATATAGTTTATAAAAAACAAATTTGACTGATTTACTGCCTGTCTGGAAGCTACCTTTTAAGCTGAGATAAGTTTTTCCCCTTAAATTTTACAGAAAAATGCACTCATTTTTTATTCTTCATAGCAGATTAATTTCTGATCATGCTAACATGTGTTTAAGGTGAATCCACCCAGTAGATTCCCCAAAAGTTTGTTTGGAAACATAGAACTAACTAGGTTGATTAGAACCTGGAGAGCTTTTCCTATTAGATCATATACCGATTTATGAGCACTGTAAAACCTAAACACTTCATGTATTAACATTTCTGTGGGAAAATAAGTTTCAGCTAGGCTTTCAAAAAATATTCCCCTCATCTGCTAACCCAGCAACAATTAAAATTTCTTCTACATCTATTATAAATTTCCTCTTCAGGTAAATGTTACTTGTCAGCTTGGTAGTCAAAAGCCAGCTTTCACAAAACCTCTCCACTCTCTTTTGATTGTTTCATATAGGGTAAAGTGATTTTTAAAGTTTCTGAGCCCTGATGGTTATCTTGCTTGTTTGAGGGTTCTGTGGTTCTTAAATCCAAGCAAATAGCATGTTCTTCCCATCAAAAGGCTTTACTTTCCTGTTGTGTGTACTCTATTTTAGCTTGCTTGGGTTCTATACTGTGATCTCATTTGCCTTGACTATGATGGAAACATTTTGGATGCCTGCACATTTGCTTTGTTAGCTGCTTTAAAAAATGGTAAGCAACTTTTAAGGCACTGTTCCTACTAATGGGTCAGAATGTTCTGCTTAGTGAAACTTTTAATGTGCATTTGCTCAATAAACTTTTTAAATGATTTTTAAGATTTTTCTATCATTCATGTGTTTCTAAATTAATGAACATAATACTGACATAGCTTTCCAAATATACTTAGAAGTTTTATATTAGCTAACCGAATGAGTGTTGCTTTGACTGTGTCTATTAATCTTTGGGTTAGGACTGCAATCCTTCCCCAAATTAGCATTAATATGGGGTAATAAGAGTTGTAAATACAGGCTAGGTGATTGGTGAAGATCTGCAAGTATTCTCTAAGTTTTTTATGTTATGTTGCCAAAAGGAGTAGAATGGATTGTATTGTTTTACTGTAAGGCCATAATAGTAATAGTAAATTCCCTCAGTAAGAAGTCTAGGTAAACTGATTTGTTATGGATTTTGGTGACTTACTTGT